CGGAAACCTGTTCCGTTCATGTTTGATCTTTTTTTGAAAAATACTTTCAGAATTCAAGGAGCGAGGAACAGATACTATTTTCCAGCTCAAATGGCCTACAATGAGTGCCAAAAACAGCATGCCAGATCTCGAAGACTCCTCAAGGAGAAACTCTTCCAGCCGACGACATGATGACGTCGAAGAATACGCGGATATACTGCCCAGCAACAGCAAACGGGAAAACAGAGGTCAGTGGATCATCCAGGCATTCTCGGGTTTGCTGCTTATCGTCTCTTAGAGAACCCGGAGCATTCAGATTTATCAAAGATTCCATCAGGGGTCTTAAATTTCGAAGACGACCCGGTCTCGCGACACCAGTCCCATGCAGATGTGCCGTATGAGGTCTACAACCGCTTTTCGAAGCATCGCAAGCACATCACTGTCGCCGTCATCTCGTGGTGCGGTTTGCTCTCTCCCATTTCCAGTACCGCGGTTTTGTCGGCACTCCCTGAAGTTGCGGCTGAGTACCGAACATCCGGAGACATTATCAGTCTCAGTAATGCCTTGTATCTTGTCTTCATGGCAATCAGCCCGTGTTTTTGGGGTCCTCTAAGCCAAGTCTATGGGCGCAAATGGGTAAGCATCATGCCAAAGCAACTTCATTTGAGTCTTCTCGGGATTTCCCTAAATTCTAACTCATCCTCCCCGTCCTGAACTTGGCTTGCAAAATGACTAAAGAATCAACATAGACCTGCACCATAACAGCCTCGCTGTTCCTGGCCTGTTCCATCGGCACGGCTTTAAGCCCCAACGTCGTTGCCTTCTTCATATTCCGTATGCTCACCGCTTTTGCCGGGACATCATTCCTTGTCACAGGACCCGCCGTGATTGGTGATCTGTACCATCCTACGGCACGCGCCACAGCTATGGGGTGGTTTTTGTCCGGCACTTTGATCGGCCCCACCATCGGACCCGTCTTGGGCGGCATTATCGTGACTTTCACTTCCTGGCGCGCCATCTTCTGGCTTCAAACGGCCCTGGCCGGCGTGGGCGTGGGCGGTGCCGTCTTCTTCATGCCGGAAACCCTACAGAAGCTCAAGAGCACGGATCTCAAGGGCCTGCCAATGAACAAGAAAATCAGCGTACTGTGGGAAATGACTAATCCTATCCGAGTCGTCCGACTCTTCAAGTTCCCGAATCTGATCCTGGTTGCTGTTGCCAGCGGATCTCTCGTCTGGAACATGTACGGCATGCTGACGCCTATTCGATACGTTCTCAACCCCCGATTTGCGCTCACCTCCCCTGCGCAATCTGGATTGTTTTATCTGGCCCCCGGATGCGGATATCTCGCCGGGACTCTCGTCGGTGGACGGTATGCCGATTATACCGTTCGGAGGTGGATTGCCGAGCGCCACGGACGTCGCATCTCCGAAGATCGACTCCGATCATGCCTTCCCTTCCTGGGGCTAGTACTACCTGGCTGTATGCTCATCTATGGGTGGACAGTCCAGCAACGAGCAGGCGGGGTTGCAGTGCCCGTCATTTTCATGTTCCTCGGTGGTGTCGCGCAACTGTTTTGTTTTCCTAGTCTGAACACGTACTGCTTGGACGTCATTCAAGGCCGGAGTGCAGAGGTGATTGCGGGTAATTTCATGGTTCGATATCTTTTCGGTGCTGCAGGATCAGCCGTGGTACTGCCTGCGATCAAAAAGATTGGCGTGGGATGGTTCAGCACAATATCGTCTGGCTTTTTGGTGATCGGTGCCATGAGTGTCTGGTCTGTGGCTCTTTGGGGCACAAACTGGCGCAGGAGGATCGATGAAAAGACCCAGCAATCTGAAACCTAGGTAATGCATCAACTGGGAAAGACATGAAGATGATCACGGAGACTTCCGCTACTGGCAGGTTCATTTAGCATCAAAATCCATAAACAGTCAACTGCATCATAGCGGCTGAACTTTTACAGATTCAAATAGCTAAAGGCTATTTGTGATTTGATGGACTTAAAAGAAATAGAATGAAAAATATTGACAACAATTACAAAACGTGTAGAACTTGATTCAATTCAGTCAAGACTATGTGCTTTGTAATTCAAAATGACAATTCCAAACCAGGTTCGGTCAAATTAAAATATTTAGGGTTTGTAATCAGATCATCAGATCTACAAATACCAAACTCTATTGAAAGAAGAACCTCAATCATCAGAACACCCGAAAGTCTATCAAAGAAAATTACAGCAGTGCCGATTGGCTGTCTTATTGAACGACACCATTACACCCGAGATCTTGAACCCTGTCGCGGCTGTCCAAACCACCTCCTCGGCTGCAACAAGTATAGCCAGTGTGGTCTCTCTAATAGAACTTGATCGATCAGTTTTGTATGTTGGGTACATTTTGTCGGTCCGTGACATCTCGGATTGCGCTTCGTGATTGACCTGCTTGTGTGAAGCATGCATACTTACGTTACTTAACTGGCGTATGCTAGCATCGGTCATTAACCTGGCCATCCTATGGCCAACATCAAGATGCGCAGGATGGCAAATTTTTGCCAGCTTGGACGCTATCTGTTCAAGCAGTGGTCCGAAACTTAACTTTATAACCATATGCAAAACAGTTGTTAAAACTATGATTATGGAATACGTTTTCAATTGAACGAGAGTTGAGACTCAAGTCATTGCCATAAGGTAGGCTATGTATTTAAACTGTTTATTATTTGATTATTTCGGACTTCAACTTGCGCAATCCAAAACCATGCCGTACAATCTTCAACGGTAAGCCTTCCCATCATTTGCAGGCGCTTTCAATTCTATTTAGCACTCATGAACGACCTTTCTCCAAATCAATTCGCTGCTCTTACGACCCAGGAGTGTCGTGTTGCCGAAGCTTCCCGCAGACTTGGCATCTGTTTGTTGTTCTACGTCTTGATTCGCCAGCGGCTCGCTTCTCAGCCATGCAAGACTCGGCAGTCCGCAACCCCTCATTTCCGGCCGCAGGGAGGAGATGTGATCTTGTTTTCACATTCGACCAGAGTCCGAAGGCACAACGCTAAGCAGATCCGCACGGCACTGCACTGCAAGACAGGTCCTACATGGCAGCATTTCAAGATTGTCCTATAAGCATGACATTGACATTAGTTTACACTGATCAATTGCGATGACAAGCCAAGCTGACCTACGACGTCCGGAAGACTGCAATGTCGCCGTCATCTGCGCACTCCCTTCCGAGTTTGATGCCGCTATCTTGGCTTTCGATAACATCGGAGATGTTAATGGACACACCCGTGGGCCACCGCCTGGGCAAAACGGGCATCACATATTTTGTCGCGTAGGAAGCCATGATGTTGTTTTGGTCCTTCTATCTGGCATGGGGAAGGTTAACGCGGCAACCGAGACTGCTCGCCTTGGAGCTATGTATCCCGGACTTGAACTGGCTGTCTTGACCGGTATCTGTGGTGGAGTGCCATACTCAGGAACCGACGAGATTGTACTTGGAGATGTTGTTATTAGTAAGAGCATCGTGCAGTATGACCTGGGCCGGCAGTACCCTGGCAAGTTTAGCCGGAAAGACGATGTCGACCACAACCTTAGCCGACCAAACAAAGATATCCGTACTCTGCTCGCCACCTTAGAGACGCAGCATGGTCTGAGCGGCTTACAGCGCCGCACAGCCCAGGTTCTGGCAGAGGCCCAACAAATGGCTGTTAGAAGACGATATCGAAGCCGTTACAACCGTCCTGCGCCGGAAGAAGACATTCTCTTCGAGCCAGCCTATCCACACAGGCATCAGAATCAATCAGACTGTGGCTGTAGCGTAACAACTGCATGTGAAGGCGCGATAAGTGCTTCTTGCGAGGAGCTTCAGTGTGATCTTGGACACCAAGTGTTGAGACAGCGCCTCGAGTCTTCTAGAAAGAGAAAATTGGGGACAGACATGCTGACAGCAAGCATACAAGAATCTCAAATACACATCGGGCGTATAGGCTCAGGTGACACAGTCATGAAATCGGGTGAACATCGGGACCGAGTCGCTGCCGAGCATGGTGTGATAGCCTTTGAGATGGAGGGGGCGGGGGTCTGGGACGAGATTCCATGTATCATCGTCAAGGGGGTATGTGACTACGCCGACAGTCACAAACACAAAAACTGGCAAGACTTTGCGGCTGCGGCCGCGGCCTCGACAACGAAGGCACTCTTGGAACTCTACCCCAGAAAGGAGAGGTTCAGGGCTCACGATACAGGCTGTAAGTCAAAAAGTCTTCCACTCTGATTTTGCTAACCAGGTTCAGTTCTTGCTTTACGCAACTCGAATCCGGAACCTGCTGAGCCGTCCGAAATTTCTAGTCATTTGAACCATAATGAAATGCAGAGAGAAACCACGATCACTACAACAAACCGTGAGTCCTTATGCAAAGTTGTGGATGGGATAGGTCGGGTATTGACAGCTTTCCAGATCGCACCCACTGCATCATACCGCTAGCGAAAAACAGACGTTTTGTCGAACGCACTGAAATGTCTGATCTCAAGCGGATGCTGTTCGATGAACCTTGCCAAACAGCTGCTTTAGTAGGTTTGGGTGGCGTTGGGAAAACACAGATGGCCGTTAACATAGCCTACTGGACGAAGGAGAACAGGCCAGAATACTCCATCTTCTGGATCCCGGCTCTCAGTTTCGCCAGCATTGAACAAGCCTATACCGACATCGCGCAAGAGCTTGGTATCCGTCCTGAATCCGAAGGCGATGACATCAAAACTTGTGTGCGACGATATTTATGCTCAAAGAAGGCTGGCAATTGGCTCTTGGTGATAGACAATGCCGACGACATGGAAACTCTATATGGATTGTCAGACGGTCAAAGTGGCTTGATGAATTATCTTCCACAAAGTGAAAATGGCATTACGCTCTTCACCACACGTTTGAAGGAACTAGCGATGTCAGTTGCAGACGACGCTTTTGTGGAACTCGATGCAATGAATCAAGACGAAGCCAAGAGCTTACTCAAAAAATGCGTTCTTCGACCACAACTCCTTCGGGATGATGATTCCGTACTGGAACTACTGGGCTTTCTTACTTACCTCCCTTTGGCCATTACTCAGGCCTCGGCGTATCTAAACAGAAACCCGAGCATGTCAATCGCAAGGTATCTTCAATTACTGCGAGGTACAGAACAGACTCGAACAAGCACACTAAGCCGAGAGTTCCGCGACAGCACCAGGTACCCAAACACTCCGAATGCAATCGCAACTACGTGGCAGGTATCCTTCGAGCAGATTCGACAAACGGACAGCCATGCCACTAGCATATTATACTTTATCTCACGCATCGAGCCGAAGCTCATACCATTTTCGATCCTACCTCGCTCAGGCTCCGAGGAAGAAACGGAATACGCAATCGGCACGTTAACTTCCTACGCATTTCTAATATATCGAGACGAGACACAGACCTTTGACATGCATAGTCTCGTGCATTTAGCGACGCGTATTTGGGCGAAGAAGCAGTCCGTTGAAGAACGGGTTACAAAGGATGCAGTCGAGCATCTTCACAAGATATTTCCATCCGATAACCATGAGAACTGTGCAACTTGGAGGCAATTTATACCCCATGCGCTCAAAGTCTTGCAAGAAGAAGGTGTAAATGTCGAGTCTGAGGCAATATTGGAACTACATTTACGAGTTGGACGGTGCCTGTTGAAAGACGGGCGAACCAAGGAGGCAATCGATCTGCTAAGGCACGTGGTGGAGGTGCGAGAAAGCACGCTCGACGAAGCCCACCACTCACGGCTTTCCTCGCAACATCTGCTCGCAGGGGCATACGAAGCCGATGGACAAGTAAACAACGCCATAAAGCTGCTGGAACACGTAGTAAAGGTGCGAGAAAGCACGCTGGACGAAGCCGACCCATCTCGACTTGCCTCGCAGCACGAACTTGCACGCGCATATCACTCAGATAGACGAATCAGGGATGCTATCAAGCTGCTCAGGCACGTAGTCAAGGTGCAAGAAAACACACTCGATACGAGCCATCCAGTTCGGCTTGCCTCACAACACGAACTCGCACGCGCACTCGAAGCAGATGGTCAGGTAAAGGAGGCCATCAAACTGCTGGAGCATGTAACGCAGGAGGAAAAAACTACATTAGGCGAAGGCCACCCATCTCGACTTGATTCGCAGCACGAGCTCGCACGCACACTCTCAGCAGACGGTCGAGTAAAAGAAGCCATTAAGCTACTAGAGTATGTAATGGAGATGCGAAAAAGCACCACACCCAACGAGGCGCATCCATCTCGACTTGCCGCACAGCACGAACTTGCGCGAGCATATGAAGCGGACGGACGAAGAGAGGAGGCTATGAACTTGCTAGAGTTCATAGTGGAAGCCAAAGAAAACACACTGGAAGAGGGTCATCCGTCTTTGCTTGACTCACAACAAGGACTTGCATGTGTATACCGATCAAACGGACGCATAAAGGAGGCTATCAGCATGCTAGAGTATGTGATGAGGATCAAAAAAGGTTTATTCAAGGAAAGCCATCCATCTCGGCTTGCCTCGCAACACGAACTCGCACGCACACTCTTAGCAGACGGACAAGAAGAAGAGGCTATTAAGCTGCTGAAACAGATCGTGGAAATACCGGAAAGCACACTCGAAAAAAGCCATCCATCTCGACTGGCCTCACAGCACGAACTTGCACGTGTTTTTCACTTGATCGGGCGAATAGAGGAAGCCATCAAACTACTAGAGGGTGTAGTAGAAGTCGAGAGCATACTAGACGAAGGCTCTCTATCTCGACTAGACTCGCAACATGAGCTCGCCCGCGCATATAAGTCAGGCGGACGAGCAAAAGAAGCTATTGCACTTCTGGAACATGTGGTAGGGGTAAAAGAAAACATGCTGAGCGAAAGCGACCCATCTCAACTCGCATCACAACACGTACTCGCAGGGGCATATAAGGCAGACGGACGAGTAAAAGATGCTATCAAGCTACTGGAGCATGTGGTGGAAGTGAAGAAAAGAACGCTTGATGAAAGTGATCCGGCTCGACTTGCCTCAGAACATTTGCTTGCAGAAGTATATGCAGCAGGCGAGCTAACAAGAGAAACTATTAGACAGCAAAATTGACAAGTATATCGTCTTGAGAGTAAACTGAACAAGGATGTCGTCGAACGTGAAATGCTTCTACTCCGGAGGTATAGCTATCCTCTAATGAAGGGTAGCGGCGCTAAACGAGAATTCTTGAGCGTTGGACTTTTGGTATGCACAATACAAGGCGACAATGGCATGCATAGAACAACCTAAGGCTCGACATGGGAATCGATGCAGATCGAGAACTTACGGCTCCAGATGCTGGGCGCAAGTTTGCGAGGAACCTTTACTTTTGCCATGAAGGTTACTCAACATTCAGCAATATAACTGACAGACCACACTCTTGTCTACTTTCTTACCTTCTGTCCAATACCACTTTTACAGCCACGAGATCCATCTAATTTCACCCTTGAATTGGTGATGAGGCCTCAACCGCTAGGATCTACGGGTGTAAAAGAGATCCGCTTGACGTCATTGACTTCTCCAATCTCATATATCAACCGTAGATTTCGCCTTTTGTTTCCTTTCATTGGGGCTTCGCTCGGGTTAGGTCATTCATGTGTATGATTCAATCAACCTAAGCCACGAGAAGTTGGCGCAGGCAAAAAGCAGCTTCATAATTTAGAAGCCAAAAAAGTTTTCGCCTCATCATTTGACTAATGAGCCTACCAAAACCCAGGAATAGGAGAGAATGATATGATGTAGGCTCCTGATGAGGTGAAATATCTGACAACTCCTAGTGAGTGAATGGTAATTAGCAACCCTATCGAGTATGAATGATAACGCAACAGATCGCTTTGTGGCTGCCTAATACAACATTGGCTTATGAAATACCTGACAAAAGCTTATCTCAATGAATAACTAGTCCATAAAAAGGCCCCTGCAAGAAAAGCGAGGAAGCTCGGACAAGTGTAAATGCATCTTCAGGGTTCTGTGTCGACTCATGGCAAAATGGCCAGGCATAAAAGGCATACAAGGGTGGATCGAATTTCCTTTAGTCGCCTTCCTTCCACTAGTGCCTACTAATAAGCCACCATCGCCCCTCCAGATTGGACCGGACTTTAGCACTACGTCGGCGGCGTCATCGCAGTGTTCCACTGCTCGCTCCCGTTTTTAATCTCGCTGGAAATAGCTCCAGTTGCTGCCGTTTCCTCCGTATCCGTACGCTAAAAATGTATTGGTATTCCTTTCCCCCCCCCCCCCCCCCCCCCCCCGTGTCCGTGGTGTCCCCGTTTCGTCTGTCTATTCTTTCAATTCAGCTTCTGTGCCTCGACCACCTACAGAAACGCCAGAGAAGGGTTACCTCACCAAGTACCTGTATCAGTCCGTCAATCCATAATCCCATTTAGGGTCTTCTGGTTCGGCTTCATGGAACCTCGTCAGCGTAGCCCGGTCTCGCTATTGAAAACCTGTCGCACATGTGCCCACGCCAAAATCAAGTGCGATCGTACAAAGGACTCCATCATATGTGATAGGTGCCTTCGGCTCGGTAAAGAGTGCACGTATGCGCCGGCCCGCAGCCGCAGACCGCCGGGCTCCCGTTCAAGGTTAGCCCTACCAGTTCCCACGGTACAGTTCCTGAGCTGACTTGATGCCAGGCCTAACAAATTACTGCAAATTCCCGACCAGCCAGCATCCACTGTCGACCCCGAAAGTCCTTTAACCTCTGCATCTGATCCGATCCAAGCTTCACCCCTGACTAATTCCGCATCCAGTAATGGAGGCGTACGGCAAACGTTCACTAGCCACACCGGGCCCGGCAACCAAGTGCAAGATCCGTTCGAAGCTGGTCGCCTCACCATTGATAGAGGCCAAGAGCTTCTCAATCGCTTTCGTATAAAATTAGTGCCTCATTTTCCGTTTGTCATAATTCCTGCCTCGGAGAGTATAAGCACATTATGGCAAACAAGACCAGCTCTGTGTTTGGCCTTGCTTGCTGCTGCATCTCATGACGATGTTCGGCTGCAAAGAGCTTTAGGCCAAATGTTTAATGAACTCATAGCTTCACGTCTAGTATGGAGCAACTTTGCCTCTTTAGATATTCTTCAAGGCTTACTTATTCATCTTGCATGGTAAAGAAGATTCTATTCCTCAAATTCTCTCTCTTCATCAACATTAACATTCTTTCGAGGGCCCATTTCCAGCCAAGACCTAAACGGTATTCGCAGCATCTTCATTTAGCTGTTAGCATAGTTTCGGACCTCCGTCTGGACAGACCGATAAATCTACCATTATGGAGCGTCGGAGGGAGCCGTTCGCCGCAAGAACGTGTAGAGTCTTTGGACCAATGGAGGGCTCTTCTAGGAACATATTACCTATCATCATGGTTGGTCACCCAACGGGCCTACCCAGACGCACATGCATGAGCCCTAAGCTAACCATCATATACGTAAAGCTCGAGCATTGTTCTTCAAAAACTTCGGATTATTACTCTAACAAGCTACATGACGGAGACTGCTAATAGATTAGTCGAAGCAGCTGAATGTCCCACAGATCAGTACCTGCCCTACATAATTCGCCTACAACGGCTCGCTGAGGATATTGACGACATAGTCAAAAATGAATCGACGCTAGATCCAATGCAGATACAAGCAGCTGTATCAGATGCCAAAGAAAGGGTAGATAATTTCAAGAGAACATTGTCTTTCCCTCTTGGTGACTGTCGTAAGTAGCCCTCTCTCAAACCAAGAGAAATATGACTTAAACTGCCGTAGCGCTTCTGGTACCCCAGATGTACACAATACAACTTTGTCTCAACCAACTTTCATTACCAGACTCACCGTTCGGCCTAAGTAAACCTCAAAATCCCTCCATGCAACGTTTAATCCAAGGGTTGTCGGAGAGCATCGTCTCCGCCAAATCTCTTGCAAGCGTACTTCTTCATACGCCTCCAGGCCAGGAAGTCTACTTCCCCAACATTGTCTGGGTCATGCTCTATTGTGGAAACACCCTGGCAGTCCGATTAGATCTCCAAGCAGCGGATCCGAGGATAAGTTTCATGACAGAACATCTTCGGCAATTTGCCGACATTGGCCACACGATCCGGCAGGTTGTCTTAAGACTTGAATCCGCCACCTCGCCGGATCTAGATGATAAAGGAGACCGCGATTCTTTTTACCACTTTTTGCTACGGACACGACGGGTCGAGAAGTGGTATTTAGAGCAACAGCGACAATTCAGCATGGAGCATCGAACTTTGCCGAATAATTTGAACGCGTCAGCCACCACATCCTTTCCAGGCGCTGGTATAGAGGTAACTGGCCTACCGCATCTGGCTGGTAATATCGATTATTCGGTCGCGCAATCGCCGTTTCCGCAATCAGCCATCGCTCCAGCGTGCGATGACATGATGTATCGCGATTTTGCACTTCCCGGGAACGCCACCATGCACTCGAGCTCAGAAGTCTCTATGGACGATTTATCATTCGTAAAAGATACTTTCATTCCGTTTAAGAGTTGGAGCTACTCTATTGCAAGAGAGGACAGTGGTGTACAATTTTAGCATGGTTGGCTTACAGAGGTCTGCGGGCCCGGACACGGACACGGATACGGACATTCGAAATACACGCATAACACTTCTGATGAGAACGCTAGATCCCTTGAACACTGCCACTACCAACCACACCTACGGAAGTCAGCGCAAGAAAACACATGTGACGGCATGCTTTGGTGTGAGCACCACGCGGCCGAGTGACACTGCACCTCCGTTCCGACCAGGAGCAATGTGAAGTTTCCATGTCCGTATCTCACCCGTGTCGGGCTCTAGGATGACGACTTTAGAAGATGCCCAATTCTTGCAACATATAAAGAAGAGTCCAAATCTCGAAGATGTATACAACTCTGCGAACATGCTTGACTCAAAACTCTTGTACGACAATCACATTAATCGGATACATTACTCAAAATGCATCGTTTCTCCAACTTCATTGTTTCGGCAGCTCTGATACTCTTCATGAGTTCAAGAGGTCTTGCAGAAGCTCCGGTATACCAACCATGCCCTCTACTTCGAGCCTATCACTCTCCGCCAGTTATAGACAGAAAGTCTGACTCGATCAAGTCGTTCAATCAAGAGTTCTCAGCTTTGTTTGACCGGCTTGTTCATGATGGCGGCTCTGATGACTTTGGAGAGATCACGCCGAACACCACTTCGTTCACAGTTGTCTTGTTCTCCGGTTCTGAAGACACTGAGACAGATCCAGTGTTTTTCGAATACCATCACACAGCTGTTGAGGCACTTCAAGACTCAAGACTTGGCGCCGACACTGTGTTTCCCTTGGGCACACTAACTCAACTCTTCACAGTGTACGCATGGCTCGTGGAAGTTGGTGACGAGCACTGGGGTACATCAGTTACCGTGTTCTTGCCAGAACTCAACAATGCCAGCACTTCGGGTCTGGCAGTAAACTGGGACGAAATTACTATCGGCGCACTGGCTGGCCAGATGTCTGGGCTTGCACGAGATTGTAGGTAGATCATTCTTAGGTTCATGTCGAATTGCTGCTCACACAACATCAACAGCCTACGCCTGCACGCTTAACAAACCGTGCAACCGAACACAATTCCTAGAGGAGTTTTCCACAGTCCCTCCATTGTTTCGCCCAGATACCACTCCCTTGATATCTAATGCCGGGTTTCAGCTCCTTGCTCTAGCTTTGGAAGCTCGTACAAGCAATGACATAACCTCTACATTTGATCACGTTCTTTACAGCAGTGTCTTTGAACCTCTGAACATGACCAAGAGCCGCCTCTTATCGTCGACCGACGACACAGATATCTATGCTCATGATCTCAACGCTTCAGCGGTTGGCGACCCAGCGTCAGTATTTTTGCTACTAACTTCGTATTGAGACACGGGCTAACACGTCGCAGCGCACTTGCTATGCTCTCTACCGCTTCGGACCTCGCTCGTGCTGGCCATGCCATGCTCAGCTCGAAACTGATTTCCAAAGGTTCAACCCGTCGCTGGCTCCAACCCGTTGCCGACACCTCGAATCTCCGCAATGGCGTCGGCCGCCCCTGGGAAATCTACCACGCCGGTCAATATGCCAACAGTTCAATCCTGGACGTTTTCACCAAAACGGGCTTGATCGGGCACTACGCGAGCTATTTTGGTCTCGCCCCCGACTTCAACGCCGGCTTCGCCATTCTCGCTCACGACACTGAAGCCACGCATGGACCTGATCTTAACGTCTACGCTGATATTGTCTCTTTGGCAATTTTGAAGCTTCAAAAACTTGCTGCAGCAGAGATGGCAGCACGCTATGCTGGCTTCTTCGAAGGGCCGTCTGGGTCGGCAATTTTCAACACATCAAGTGATGGGCATGGCCTTGTCGTTTCTTTGCTAAAGAACCGAAACATTGATCTTCGTCAACAGGTTGCTGCGGCTGCGGGTATTGAGCTTGCAAACCTTGATTTTCGCTTATACCCCAGCAATGTAGCAACTGACACCCAGCATCAATTTGTCGCCGTTTTTCAGGATAAGAGTGCTCCTGTTGATATGGGTACGCCTACTTGCATCACTTGGCAGGACGTCGACTCTTTAGGTTCAAGCATCAATGTACGGTTTGTGTTCGGTATGGATGAATCGGGACGTGCGTCGGATGTTACACTGGGTGATGGCTCCCTTGTTCTATCTAGTGTTACGACCCGACAGTTAACAGACCACTGACGACGACCCCGCAGGGGCTCAGCGGTTATAGGGACGGCCGTCAGCCGTTACGTCGTAACAACCCCCACGGAACGGAAGAACTAGGATACAGGTCACGTGACGATAAGCAGGACCGACGCGGTCCTGGGACAGGACCGACGGTGCCAAGGGAAAAACATCAACAACAGCGAGAACGAAATTTTTGAAAATCGGAGCAAAAACGGCCCCAAATACGCGTGCTCGCGGCCACAGAGCCCCCTTCGATGCAATGCCATCCTCGGCCTTGATTCTACGTCCCAAAGGGGCCCAAGATGGCCGCAGAGCACGCCCCGACTACAATGAAAAACTTGAGAGCAAGCCGCAAAATACGACATATCAATAGACAACACTGTTACCACCACCACAGGCGAGCCACAAGCCGCTACACGAAGCACTAAGACTGCGCCCAAACAATCAACTTCAACACAACAGCCGCCGACAGGTTTTGGGTCACCTGTCACCCCCGACAAAGTTTGCAACGTCCCACAACGACGAAGATGAGTCCGACAGAACAGTATCACCTTCCGCACGGAGAAAGCACCAGGCATTAGGCATGCTACGATCGATGCCACACAATACTACAGACCACAGACAGACTGGTCCCCTGTCGCCCCTTTTGCGAAGAAGGATTGGTGTCCCTTCAACGCGCGACAATGTCTGCGGAATCTGTGCGGGAGCTCTCATACCCAGTAATCGAACATGTCGGAGTCAGTGGAGCATTGTGCTTCGTGGAAGACCCTTGGGCCAATGTGGTGGAGGGCAATAGTGGTCAACAGGCAAGAAACAAGAGGCCACATAGGAACCCGGCAGGAGGCAACAAAGAATTTACAGATGCAACTGAGAAAACGGCACATACAAGTCCGGGAGGATACGGACAAAACAAAGAGACAAAGCTGAGCGCTGGGGGGAGACTGTAGGTACAAAGAACCAGATACGGTGCTACCAGCACCAACTGAACCGAAGCAGGAGGACGCAAAACAAGCATTCTAGAGAGCAACACAAAAGCGAGAAAGCAGACAGGAGAGCAACACACTTCTTCAACAGAGGGCACAAACACACAGAATAGAGAACATAGTGGGGAGCTTGGGGATAGCTGGCCCTGATGCAACATCAGGGCGAAGTGGGGCGTCGCTGTTCATTGTCGACGCTTCGGCTACCTGCCAAACCCCGCTTTCCGGGCATAGCTGCTGGCATAAGAGCGGCTTCATAACCGAGTAGGAATAAATCAATCAATCAATCAATCAATCGACGGTGCCAAGGGCGGTCCATGGCGATGGACCGACGTCCTGGGTGTCGGTCCCCCAGGATCAGGAAGTGTTCAGCATGGAACCAGACTTGTATATAGTTGGGACTCGAGTCCTCTCGAGTCCTACCTTTCCTAGTTCTTCAGCAATCAACTTCGTGACTACCCTCACCGGTACTTTCAGCTATCCTAAGTGACGACTACTCTACGACTCTTGTTGAGGCCTTGACTGATCACCAAGACCTTTGAAGATCTACGATCTATTCGACCAGGACCACGGAACGACTGTTACTACTCTCAATCCCTGACTTACTGTTAACACAAACCCACTGTCAGTTAGCTGGCCGTAACATCTAGGTCTGATTGAGGATGTCAATTCAAGCAACAACCTTCTTGTAGCCATGCACACGAAATACGTACTATCTGGATGGCGAAATTGGCAAACAGGAGGGACAAGTGTAGAATGGTTTTTGTTGTGTTGTATTTTTGGGTATTATGATATCCAATCCGGGTTCAAAATCCCCTACCAATACTGCAAAAAATGCAACCCTTTCCTAAGATATTGATGAATTATTGCATGACCTCGGACGGCCGTCTACTGCAAGAAGCTGAATATAGTGCATATGATGTCGTTACGAAAACATACAGCCATTTGATTTAAGTTAGTATGGCAAGTTTCGCCGCCAAACCGACATCCCACCACCCACAATTTCCTCTTATAGTGTTGCGATAGTTGGAATACGGAGTCGTGTGGCACTTCCAGCCACACGCCCGCCAGGCTGAGAGGCCCAAGCCTCCCAGACCCACGTGACAGGCCAAGGGGGAATATCCCCACCTTCTAGTTAACAACACTACTTTCAACTATCATGAACTATCGATTAGAACTAATTTACTGTTATTTATTATTAACGAACGGAATTCCGTTTTACTCCTGTGAAACCTATACTGATTAGTAGTAAACCTTATAGTTGCTATTAATTTGGTTAACTTTATAATTACTACTCTGCTATAGATAAACCGTAGATTAGCAAGGTTAATACTAGAAGAGACGACTTCTTAAACTAGATACCTAAGCCTAGGTAAAAGTAGGGATTTCGTACTAACGAGAGAAGAAGCGAGAGTAACTAGGATCTACGGAAACTAGTAGAAGAAAGCTTCTTTTCCTCGAATCTACTAGTAATCCGATTATTCGAGTAACCTAGGGACTGCTATGCTTACCTTAGGCGGGATAAGGTTAATTGTAGCTAATTATTACTAGCAAGAGCGTTCTATTACGCGTTTTCAATTACTAGAAGAAGAGACCTACCGAATCGACAGTCCTCTAACCTCTTTACGCTATAAAGGCGAAGATTTACGAATCCTATAAGGGATAACAACTTCCCTAACTATAACTATCCCCTACGCGCGGTGCTAATTACAAGGCGCCTACTAGTTTCTTAATAAATCCCTAGACAAGGTACTAACCGCAAGGCGCTTGCTATAAGAGACTGTTACGAGCAGGTCAGGGCAACCAACTGTGGCACAAAGCAAAAGCTTCGGTAATGATGACTCCGGCATCATTATCCCCTGTTCTGCACTATATAGCTACGCCGGCCAGGCACCAACTGGTTGGGCCGTAACAGAGACCTCCCTACTAGAAGAAGAATATGCCGAAAGGCAAGCAGAGACTACTAACGGTAATCCGCCTATATAGCTATACGTATACGCCTTTAAGGCTACGGCTTAGGAGAAACATACGTAGTTATAAGCGTTATAAGGCTAACTATCTACTAGATTCTAAACTTCCTAATAGTAAGGAGCGAAGCCTAAAGCGAGAAAGAGAGATTTACGAGAGAATCTATAGTAAAACTCTCTCCTTACTAATTCGAGACTTATATATACCTTTATACCCTTCGAGAATATTAGCAAGAACGGCGCTGACGGAAATAAACGACGAACCGACGAAAATCCCCGATTTTACGATTCTTTCCCCTTAGAATCGTAATATCCCGAATCGTCTTTTAACTCCTACTTCTAAGCCTATATCTTATACTAATCGTAGCTAACGCTATTAAGGATTAGAATTTAAGATTCTAAATAGAAGTAATCCTTTTATACTATTAGAATAGAGCGAAATTTACGAGAAGGATCGCTTGCAAGTAGCGTTACTACTAAAAGCTAATTAATAGTCCCTATCTTATAGAGAATCGAAAGTATAATCGATTTAGCAGTATAAGGTAACTAGGTAATCGACCTTATAAACGCTAGCTTATAGCAACTAGGTTCCTATATAGGTTTCCTACTTAAGACTTATAAGAAGAGGAATCTTACAAGCCTCGAGCTATAGAACGAAGTTTCTCCCGATTTCGCCGACTAGTTAGAAGAAGACTTTTAGAACGTACCTCCCCTAATCCTACGATTCTTTAAAGACTATTTAATCGGTAATAGCGTCTACGTCGAAATAGATAGTAAGAAAATCTCGAAAAACGTAGCATTAGCTTTTAAAAAGGAAGAATTCTACTACTAGTTACCTTAAGAACTCGAACAAGGCGTTAAGAGATATCGCAACCTAAAGGCTTTAATAAAAGACCCCGAATTCTACGAAGAGATTACGAGACTAGCAATAGTAGCTAATAGTATAGGAGGAAGAGTCGAACTAACCTTATAGCTACCTCCTTTATAAGAATAATAATAGTAGTAACTACCGTACCGACCGCTATATCCTACGGTCTTTCCGTTAATAGACTTCTAACTATATAAGTTAACAGACCGTATCGGAAAGCAATTAACAGAATTTGCGAAACTATACCCTAACGATATGAAATATAGCGGCGATATATACGATATACTCGAAAAGAAGATGCTAGTATTCGTAGATTACTATAGAATGCTAGGAATTTATACCTCCTAATATAACAAGGTACTTCCCCTAATACTAAAAGAAATAGCTAAAACCTACTTCTACGCCTCGATTAAAGTAATTAACCTACAGCCTAACTTCGAGACCATGATTAACTAATTGAAATTACACTTCGAGACTAGGGAAAGGCAATAAGCGTACGTTACGTAGTAGAATATAACTACTCTTCCCTAAATTATTCGCGATAACCTTAGAAAGACTAAATCGGAGTATTTTAATATACTATATAATAAATTAAGCAAGATTTAGCCTGGTTTGCTATAATAGGATTATAACGACCGATCCCTCTATACCTAACTTCTATACGCTTATAGAGATATTCTAGAGTATGTAATAGCGTTATTTATACCGGCTAAGACGTACGAGGGACTTTGCAGCTAATTAATCTTGTCGATCGAGACAGCTACCTGTCTTAACTAACAACAATTCAACATAGTAGCCAACCTACTAGAGCAGTACTAGACCGATAGAACTTTTAATGGTCGAAGGCGTTATTTACGATATAGTCGTTTATTACGAAGTCGATCATTACGAGGAAGAAGCCGTAACAAACCCCTATTACTGCTAACGCCTAAGAAGTGCTACGTATATAGAAAACCTAACTACTAGTTAACTAAATATACTATAGAAGAGAGACGAAAAGCGTACGAGAAGTTTAAAACTACCTAATATGCCTAGGATACGTTACTTCTAGCATATAGCTAATTTCTTATCTAATACGAGGGTTTCGACGGGTTAGACCTATAACTTACCGCCGAAGACCCTTAGCAATACTACTATATAACCGAACAAACTAGTAAAAGTAACGAAGAGGAAGAGACCGGTAGCGATAGTTAATTCTAGGTTACCGCCTATTTTACTATAATAGTAATTAACGGTAATAGGATCGCTATGATCTTAGCAGACTAGTCAACCTACTATGCTATTACGAAAGAAGACCTCTTCCGTAACTAACTAGAACCGAAAGAGCTACCTTCGCAATTTATACTCGAGGGACGCTACTCTGCCTAGAACTTCTAAGGGATCATGCCTAACTCGGGCGCAGCAGGATTCTCAACCGCTAGCTACCTATAATTCGTAGCCTTATAATAAATTTACGAAGGAATTACGTTAAATACTAAGGCGGCTAGTAGCGTTATAGTAAAATTCGGCAATAGGATACTACTAGAGTCTATAAGGACTACTAAAGTGCTAACGCCGTTTAGAAGCGTTAAATTTTACGTTATTAAGACTAATACTCCCTTTCTTATATGCCTAGGAGATATAGACCGATTAAAGGTCTACTTTAATAACGTTACGAATACCCTTATCTAAGGAAATAAGGTTATACTTATTATTTATAAATAAGGCTACCTATAGTTATTACTTAATAAGGAGAAACTACTTGCTTAGAACTACCTTATAGACGCTAAATTACGACGGGTTTACCGTCGCTTCGGACACCTATCTATTTAACGATTATACAAGGTATTCTAGAAGGCTAGCTACTTAGTTGAAATTATAGTAATTAAGTAACTATTGAAAGTCTGCTATCGATGCTAAATATACGTACTAGCGCTATTACGGTTTAAATTTACGTTACGAGACGATTACGAATTTAACTATAAGGTTATCGCCGACGTAATATACCTTAAGGGTAATAGACCGGTCTTCTACGTCGTCGATACCGCTACGGCGTTTAACGCCGCCTGGTTCCTTAAGGATATTTCTGCGAAAGCTACTTAGGAAGCCTTACGCCTCTGCTAGATAGATATATATTAAGGACCCCTAGACTAGCTAGTTACCGACGCTAGAATAAACTTCCGCTTAATAGAATTCCGAAACGTAGCAAGAGGAATAGTAATTAAAATCAAGGAAATTCCTATAGAAGCCTATAACAGTATTAAGAAAGTTAAACGATACTATATACTTCTAAGGAAGGCGTACGAAATTATTAAAGTAGAAGACTTAATAATTACGCTAGAATTAGTATTTTAAATAGTAGTTAAAGTAGTTAACGATACTACTAGCCTGAACGGAATAGTGCTAATACTCTTAGTATTCGGCTTATACTTACGAATTACTAACGATTTGCTACTATCTCCCGAAGTCATAAGGCGGGCGAAAGCGATTAAGAAGGCGACGAGCGAAGTATGCGAACTTTACGCAAGGCGATAGGTAGTAGAAGCTATCGCTACCTATAATAGCCTTGATATAAGGCTAATTATTAATTTACTACTATGGTTAACGTACATGATAAGCGAGTGAGACAGACAAGCGAGTGAGACAGTAAACCAGACCTTCGCGACAATAATATCGAAATCTATAACAAGAAATCTTAGATTGATTAATACTACTCGGATTCCTGTTCTTCGGATGTTTCCTCAATAAATTGACATGTTCTCGCGTTGTGGCCTGTATTCCCGCATACGCCACACCGACGATGAGTCGTCTCAGACCTCACTTTGCGACCACTACTCCGTCGCGTTTCCTCTTGTAGTTGCGTGTCTGCCTCTCTTTGCGACTGTATATCCTCTCCAGTAGATATAGTAAGACTTCCTCCTTTCTGTAGACGTGTTTTCTTAGCCCTTCGACGCCGACTTAATATTGCATTCTCCTCTCGAAGGATTTGAACCTCTGACTCTAGTAATGCTACCCGATGCCCTAGTCCTTCTGTCCCTCTGGCTAGCTTACTCACAGCACTATAAATTGATGCTGGAGAGCTGCTTCGGTGGCGTGAGATTCGACTCTTAATAAAAGTAGACTGTGATCTTGCTTCGCTTGGGTTGCTCGGCGTCCTAGAGATCCAAGGGTCTGGTGTCTGAGGGACCCCCTCCTCAGGCGTTGGCGTTCGGAACTTTACATCCAGCTTTGAGAGAACACTTTCTGCATTCAAAGGGACAAGTCCAGCTCCTCGGAAACCTCCCTGGATATTTTTCCTCGTAAAAGACTGCTTAAAAGCTTCGTGAAATGCTGCAAAGAAATCTTCCTTCGAGATATGGGTTGTGCCTCGCCGCATCTTATTCTCAATTTGCCGACCGTAGGCATTCTTTAACGGCTGAAAACAACCAACATCTAAGGGTTGAAGTAGATGAGACGAGTGAGCCGGCATGCACAGTGTAATAATGTTGTTTTCTTGACAAAAGAGCTCGAAGGCTGCGGAGTGGTGACTTTCATGACCATCAACAACGAGGAGGCGATATTTCCCAGACGTACGTGGTTTTGTATAAATGTCGAAGTGTCTGATCCAGTCAATACCTCTCTCGTTTGTTGTCCATCCATTTTCAGACGTTGCAATAGCCCAATCGCCCGGAAGAGAGGTTTCTGTATACCAGCTTGAGAGGTGATACTGGCCTGCAACGATGATGTATGGCGGGATGCTCTCCCCTTGGGAATTAATAGCCTGGATAACTGTAACCCATTCCCTATTGCCAGGCTGTGTCATCTTCGTATTTGAACGCCTTTCAGCACTTGTAACAACCATTCCAGAAGCAATAACGCCCATCATAAAGCCGGTCTCATCAAAGTTGTAGATATCAGCATCAGCAATACCATACTTCGCAATTGTATTCTTCACAAGCGAAAACCAGCCACGAATCACCTCTGGATCTTCGCATTGAGCTCTCTTATAGTCATACTTGCGAAAGAAACGCGTCCTAAGCTGTGGTTGTCGCTTGACGAAATTAGAAGCCCAGCGCTTCCCAACTGGAGGCGCGTCGCGCTCTGCGAGAAGTCGATTGGCCATTTCTTCCACACCACTCAGCCGGGGAGGAAATGATCGCGCATCTAGGTCGAGAATATACTCAACTATTGTCTTCTCTTCTAAATCTGATAAATTCCGTGAATTAGGCATGCTGTCGCGTCGTGAGACTATTCCCTTTAGTCGCCGGCTTAATGTTGCGTGACTGACTGTATAGAGTGCACCTGCGGCCCGAGCACTAAGTTTTGGGTCATTTCTCATTGCTTGAAGGGCAATTTGTAACCTTCTTTCAATACTAGCTGATTCCATGATTTATTGTAGAGGAAAAGGTGCCGGTCGCGTCAAGGTGCGACGGTCGCGGTTTACTGTCTCACTCGCTTGTCTGTCTCACTCGCTTATCATGTACGTTAATCTTTTCTATGATAGGTGACAATTCCTCGTCGATTTTAGACCCCAAAGGCTGCCAGTCCTGGCTGTAGAAGATTAGCCTTTCTGAGGCTAGAAGTTCTTGCAAGGTCCATCCACGCGTGAACCATTTGCTTTTGCTGAACCTTTCCTCAAAATTCGCATCGTCTTTGTTTGGTACGTCGTCGAGATATGCGTAGCAGACTTGAGCTTCCTCGTACCAGGCAAACATTGAGTTGATGGATTCATCTAGCTCCGTTTTACTGTCTTTGTCGATGCAGCATGTGTCGATCCAGACATATTTGTGCATGTCTTTCATGGCCTGCGCGCGACATCCTTCAAACTTGTCACGGCCTTTTCCCGTCTTATGGAGAGAAGGTTCAATGTCGTGATACGTTATCTCATCTTCCGTATCCCCCCATGTGTGCGACAAAATGGCATATGGAGAGACGGTCGCATCATCTTTCCATTCCAACTTGGAAGTGATGACGTTGATGAGCCGCATGTAGTCGAACGTCCGTGTGCTTGCCAGACCCAAAAGTCTCTATGAGACTGTTGTGGCTCAAAACAAATTGTTGCAATGAGAGACAAGTTAGAGTTGCTGAGGTGGTGCCGCGATGGCGATTGCAATGGTACTGAGATGAGTAGAAAGTGAAATTCTACAAGCCACGTTTTATCATCTGCTTAGTTGGACTCGAATTTTAAGAGAGGTAGTAGCTTGCACAGCCTTGAGATATATATATGGCTGCCTGTCATATTGACATTGGATGCTAGACGCTAATGAGGGGTAAGCAAGAGGCGCAGGTTGATAGTGTGCAGGCTCAAGGAGGCTTATTCGCCAGCCTTGCATATGTTCGTAGAAGTCGAACCAGATGGGTTACTCTGGCGGATTTCTTGGCGCATCGGAGTTCCCGATAAGGCTGGTGATGAGTTGAGAGAACAGAGTAATTGGGCACGCGTGGGGCTTGATCCGCAGCTGCTTACGGCAGATGCGAAAGATGGCTGTGTTTGTCAGTGGAGTTAGCGAAGTAGACAGCCTGATTGATTCACCCAGATATGACGAGCGATGTACGTAAATGTGGTCGAATATGCCACCATATTAAAGGGAGAATAAGAATGCTAGTACCGGCTCCGTCGGAGCTGGGTTTCTGCTACGATGCCCTAAACGCCATACGCCTGCAACCATGCTTCAAAATGCCTATTCGTCGCCGCCAAGATCCGCAAGAGTCTTGAACGCTGCCGCTCTCGGTGCCTGTTTCGAACCGGGGCCGGCGCCGCTGCCGGACTTCATCGGCGGGGGAGGGGGGTTGACGCGGTTAAATTGCGACATCTCGGCCGCCTTTTGAGGATCAATCTACCAGTCCGTCAGCAAGATGTTCTTCGTCCCGTCACCGGCATTATCGCCCATAAACCAACGTACTGCAAACAGCGAGACGAGGTACAGCCCGATGAATGTGATGAGGTTACTGAAGATGCCGCTAAGTTGCCACTGGATGGGGCGCTGTAGGCTGGCGCGGGGACGTTGGTCACCACCAAGAGTCCGGCCAGGAGTGCTGAACGAAGCAGCAGAGCTGCCGCCCTTGTCGGGGAGCTTGAGAGCGTTCTGAATAGCCTGGGTAAGGGCGGGCGGGTTCGCGCCCTTGATCGTCTCGACGGCCTGGCCACCGTGGAAGATGATGAAGGTGGGCATGGCGCTGACGCCGTGGGTACGAGCGATGCCGGACTGTTGGTCGACGTTAATCTTGCAAAAGGCGACCTTTTTCGGCTTGGAATATTCCTTCGCGAGACGTTCGAAGTGCGGTGCAATCATCTTGCAAGGGCCGCACCAGTCGGCATAGACTGCGATGGAGGGAAGCTTTTGTCAGCGAGTGATCGGATGCGCTGGGAGTACATAGTATGTTGTTATCTGATTGACTTACAGTCGGCAATGACGACATTTGTGCCGCTGAGAATGCCCTGCCATTCACCGGCAGACTGAACACTAATTAAACTCATGGCTTTGCAATGTAATGTGACAAATGGGAGTAAAATTGGTGACCTTGAGGTTGTGAAAGAGACGGGAAAGAAACACCTAAGGGGGGTTGTTCGTCTCGCTGACGGAAGCTCTCGCGGCCCCGGTCCTAGCGGAAAGGTGGCGGGTACCTAAAATAGAAGGCGGTCAACAACGACTCCACCTTTCTGCCGGATTTACCCCGGGGTCCACTGCGGGACGAATCCCAAAGTTCAGAAACTTTTTGGGACACCGCTAATAAACTTGTAGAGCTTCAACCAAACCAAACCACCAATTGAGTCAAAATGTCTTTCGATCCGAGAGCAAAGGTAAAGAAACTTTATATCTTTTTTGTGGCTTTTTCTTACACATCATAGAGAAGAAAAACAGGCGAAGACAGCCATGTCGAATCCGCCTTGCCCTATTCCAAGTTCGAGGCGGTTGAGGGTGGCCGTAGCTGGACCGTCTCAGTCGCAATTCCCAGCAGTATCATGGCAGAGTATGTGACGCCTTTTCCCCAAGTTGACCAGACTTGCATTGAGGCCTTAATTAACCTTGCCATAGTGCTCTGAATGCTGAGCGTCGTACTGCCGTCGCAGGTCGCATCGCTCGTGCCCTTGCTGTCTTTGGCATCGACGAGATCGTCATCTTCGACGACAGCCCCGTCGAATCCCGCCCCAAGCGCGTTGACCACAAGAGTTACACCGGCGATGTCGATCCTTGTCACTTCCTGGAGCACCTTCTCGGTTATCTCGAAGTCCCTCCCTTCATGCGCAAGATGCTCTTCCCCCTTCACCCGAACTTGCGCCTCGCTGGCCAGCTGCCGTCGCTCGACATGCCGCACCACCCGAACCCGCAGGACTGGTTGCCCTACCGCGAGGGTGTCGCCGGCAAGGGAACCCCCAAGGGTACCGTGATCGACCTTGGTCTCAAGGACCCTGTTGTTATCGAGGACGAGATCCCGCCCAACACGCGCGTGACGCTGCATTACCCGGACTACAACTCCGATGAGGTTGAGGCGTGCGACCCGGCGGCGCCCAGGGAAGAGGGAGGATACTACTGGGGATACAGCGTACGACGGGCGGACTCGCTTTCGGCCATGTTCACCGAGTGCAAGTACGAGGGCGGTTACGACATCAGCATCGGCACGTCGGAGCGCGGACGCACGCTGTCGCAGTCATTCCCGAGCACAGCGCCACTGGATTTCAAGCACTTGCTGATCGTGTTCGGCGGGCCGAGAGGTATCGAGTATGCGGCGGTGAACGACAAGGAGCTCGAGGGCATGGAGATGTCTGCGGGACGGACGAAGGAGCTGTTCGACCACTGGGTTAACGTCCTGCCGGGACAGAGCAGCCGGAACATCAGGACCGACGAGGCAATCTGGATCGGGTTGACGAATCTGAGGAGGCTTTGGTATGAGTACTGATGGCGGTACGTGATATATGGGATGCTGTGTTGGGCCGGAAGCCTGGCGGAGATGTGATACCCAATCAAAAGTTATTTGGTTCCTGGGCATAGAGCTGCGAAGTTTTGATTTTGAGTATATAATCTTTGGTTCTAGATGGGTCAAGCGAGAGTTCAGTTTGGTTCACGCACATTTTCATTCTCTGAGTCTGAACATAGCCAAATGTGACATGCTTACGGGACAGACTTGACAAGGAATATCTGACGTTATCCCTAAGTTTTCTCTTTCCGTCCTGGCTCTTCACTTCACTAACTTCCAAGCAGAGCTGATGCCATCAGCATCAAACTGACAGATATGCCATACATCCAATGAGAACTTAAACCTACATTCAAAACGGTTTAAGACGGCGATGGCTCAGTGGACGCCAAGCCAATGACAAATAAGCCAAAAACCCAACCATCAGCTCTCCCCAACCAATCTACAGACTCGAATATCCGAGCCACAAAGCAGTCGAGTCACATTTACAACATCGTCACAGAAAGCTCAGAAGACAGCAGCACAAGCACATCTCAACAGAAGAAAACAATTTCACGTCAAATATTCCTACATCAGAGAAAAAAAAAAACACATATAGGAACCCACCTAAGCATGCTGGTAAAGCGCGATACCGGCCGTGAACCCAGCGATATTATCCCTGTAAAACGCAATGTCCTGCCCGTACCTCGTAACCATGGCCGTCGTGCCCACAATCTGCAGGTTGTACGTCTCCAGGTTCTCCGTGCGCGTGCAGTTGTTCGGCCCGTCGCGGATATCGAAAATACGCTGCTGGCACCGCGCGCCGGCGCCGATCTGGCAGCACGCCGTGCTGTAGTTGTTGAAGAAGGAGTACAGGCCCGCGCCGAAGATGGCGATGTTGCGGCTGCCGATGACCCGCAGGCCCCACGCCATCTCGCACGGGGGCGCGCTCGGGTCGTGCCCCGCGCAGTCGGCGACGAAGTCCGGGTCGTGGTAACCCTCCACGCGGGGGAACGGGTACAACGCCGGGGGGTTGGGCTGGTAGTACCTGTTTCCGCGCTGTCAGTCATCATTCTACATAGCAGCCTAGTTTTCATATGTTGCGATAACTCACGGTGTCTCCGTCTGGATCTGCCCCATGTAAATATCCCTCGTCTGGTACAGCTGGTACTGGTACAACGTGTGATGCTCGACGCCCGAAGCAGACAACCAGATCCTGCCTGCAGTAGACTCAATCAGCAAGCCTCTTCCAGCGTAGATAGTAACCTGCTTGTAATTCGGGTCCTCGAGGTCGTGGTCCGCGACCCACAACCAGCAGTTCTCCATAAAGAGGTTAGACGCGGGCTTGGTGATGTGCATGCTCATCCAGGCGGCGATGCAGTTCTTGTCAATGGTGTCGGCGGTGACGGTGGCGTTGGGCGTGGTGGGACACTGCGCGAGCTGCTGCTGGGTGCCGGCGAAACCGCCGACGCGGATGTGCACATCCCACATGCCCGCCGGCTCGCCGAGCGTGTTGAGGTTATACTCGACGACCTTGGCGCCGGGGGCGGCGCCGCGCGTGGAGACGATCATGTCGGACCACTCGATGGTGCCGCAGTCTCCGGGCAGCGCGACCTTGACGACCGGGTGCGGGTTCGAGATGTCCTGGTACTTTGGCCCGCCGCCCATGATGATTGACGCGAGGGCCTCGCCGACGATGCGCGCGCCGACGGGGATGAAGACCGTGTCGGAGACGTAGTAGGTTCCGGCGTCCACGAAGGCGACGACGCTGCCGCCGTGGGACGCGACGTAGTTGAAGAGGTTGTTCAGCGCGACGGTGTCGTCCGTCATGCCGTCGCCCTTGGCGCCGAAGTTGCGGGCCGAGATGAAGTTCGCCGCGGGGAGGTTCTCGTAGTGCGGCTTGGAGCGCTCGTAGTACTTTGTCCCCGTGGGGGTGCTCGCGAGGAGGCTCGGGTACACGGGGAAGTAGGAGACGTCGTTGCCGGTGTAATCCGTGGGTCCCGTGGGCGTGTAGATGTGGCCCATGGCGAAGCCCTGGCTGACTACGGAGCTGCTGGTGCCGTAGATGATTGTGTTGTTCTTGGGGCCCTGGAGGATGGTGCCGACGTTGGAGAAGGCGACGTTCTCCATCACGAGGGTGCCGGCGGTGACGGGGACGGTGACGCCCGGCTCGCGCGGGGTGCGAATGGCCGTCTGGACATTGACGAAGTGCGAGTCGATGAGCGTGACGGACGACGTGCTGTTGTCCTGAAGCCGGATGCCGATGCCGCAGTTCTCGAAATAGATGCTCTTGTACGTCCAGCCCCAGTCCCAGAGCTGGTTGATGGCGATCTGGGAGTTCCAGAAGCGGCTGCGTGATGTTAGTGAGCGACCAGAGAGCAGGCTGAAGGGTTATCTGACAGGTTACGGGCGGTGTATTGCTGGTTACCAAAGTTGGCGCCGTACTGGCCTCCGTAGAAGTCGAGATCATTGAGTAGACCACCTGATCCCTCCTCAATGAAGATGCCGGTGTGCTTGCTGTCTGGGCCCTCAGCCAGGTGGAACGCGCAGTTCGTAATGGCAGTGGCCTGAGACGAGGGCCAGTGAATTCCGAGGGCGGCAGACGACGCGTTGATGGCGGTCGTGTCGAAGACCAGGTTGCGGATCTGTAAAGTGTAAGTTGACATAAGATAGCCTCAAAACATGAACTCTACCTGGCGGAAAAAGACGTTGGTAGCACCCCAAGCAAGGCCATTCGCGCCATACTTGTTACCGTCGATGAGACCCAAGTTGTTCGTCACATCAAAGTTGGCAGTAGCCTTGATCACAGGCCGATTAGTAGGGTCGCCGATGATCTGAGTGTAAAAGAAGTTGACGATGGAGCCGGAGATGAGGTAAGTGCTATTACAGTGTTAGTCTTGATAAATTCCCTTTCTCATGAAACTCACCCGGGGGGGAAATAGACGGTAGCAGGCGACGTCGTCTCGCCCTTGCAAATCCCCGGTCCGCATCGCTGGCCGGATGAGATGGCCAAGTTGATCGCCGCCGTATCATCGGTGACACCGTCACCCTTGGCGCCGTAGTCCTTGACGTTACGGAAGACCTTGTAGTTCGGGTCCGGGTGGTACGGCGAGATGCCCTGGTGTTGGACGTCCTCCATCCAGTAGGCCGCCTTGGCGACGGCCGCGGCGGCGAGCCATAGCGCGGCTGTGAAGCGCATAGTCACCGAATAGTGCCTTTAAACGATAGCACAAGATGTTTGTTTTGTAAAGTAAGCACGAGCGAAGTGAAGCTTGTAGTGGAAAGTAAAGATCGTGGTGGGTTGGTCAATGAGCGACTGGTGTCAAAAGAGTGTCTGTAATTCCCCCCTCGGACGATATGCCCAGAAAGGTAGAAGATAAAATAGTGAGTGGACGATCCCAGAGAGGAATCAATAAACAATAAGTAACGGACGAGGAGAAACCTTAAAGAACTATACACATATATTTGGCCCTGTAGGCACAGTAGAACCTTGGCTGGGGTTATAACTGCAACCCGATAGTCCCGAGTTGAACCTAGGGAAGGGAAAATAAGAGAGTCGACGCAGCGACTGTGGGGGAGCCCTCGATATTTTATGAAAAGTGAAGACACACAGCCATACACAGCATCAAAGTTCCCACCCCCTTCTCTCGGAATGCCTCTCAGGAACAAATGCAACGGGGGATACCCAGTGCCGTCGTGTGGCCTAGACAAGAAAGGGAAAGACGGATCAAAAGGGGGGAAGGAGAGAGAGAAAGGGATGTCTCAGTCAAAGCACAGGCTATGTCTCTTCCCCCTTCTCTCAAATTCCTCAACGTCACCATTTTGATGTGTGTGTGTGCGTGTGTGATGCTGCAGAGCCGACGGGGGGTGGAAAAGCGAAGTGACGATGGCCGACTTGCAGGAGCTGAACACGAGCCGGGCGGACTACTCCGACTCCATTCATCCTATCAACTCACCACTTACTATAATAAAGGTTGAGGATATGAGATCCACAGCCGTCTGGATCGCCCAAGAAGCGGGTTCGCATCAGTAACGGAAACCATTTTCCCAAACTTAATCTCATAGCTCATCGTCTGACAGATGACCATCAACTAGACACCAAACGACGCCAGCAAATGTTCAAAAAAAAAAGAAGCAGCTCGTGGTCTAGTCCACGCGTGAAGCAGAAGGGGAGACAAGGAAAAAGAGGGTGTACTAAACCTGACTCGGATTGGCGCTAGGAAATGATGAATGAGGGGGGGGAAATGAGGGTCGCCTAAGCAGTTTTATCTACACACGGCGGATTATTGGACCACTATATTGAACCATCTTGGAGCTGTTTACCCTTCCGGGCTTGCTATGCGCTGGTAGGTGGTAGTTCCATCATGCGGGGTACAGAGAAGAAGAGAAAAAAAAAGAAAAAAAAACGACTGCATGTCATGTCTTGGGCCAAGGGAGTTCGGATAACACGGGGTGGAATTCTGCTTATTCATGGTGTCCATGGGCGACTTTCTCAGGAGCAGCGTCAGTGGCTCAAGCCCTCCTTTTTGAGTGAATCCAATGTATTGAACCTTGAAAAGGTTTAGCAGAGACAAGAAAAGCAAGAAAAGAAGAACATAATGCCACGAAAAGAAAGTTGAGGGATGAGAAATTGTGCAGACAGAAAATAAACAAGCTTCATACAAGAGAAACAAGAAGCCGAGTGCGAAAACGGGGGTGGGAACATGAGGGGGGGGGGGCCTATAGTGTAAAATGTTTCCCGTTGACTAAACAAACCACACATAAAATCAACCCCCTTGGCGAATACCACCTTTAACGCTGCATGACAGGGTTGTATCGCGGCCTATAGGGCGACGGCGCAACTCCGGACGTAGACACGCAGTGGAGTACGACTGGGAAAGGTTAAGCTAAGGGATATATACTCGACCGCGTGATGTTATCCATTCCAAAGGGGGTGGGCATTCAGGGCAAAAAAGAGAATTCCTCGTCTTCAACATGAGGGAGAACACAAGGCGTCCCCCCCCATCCCCCCCATGGTCGCCGACGTGAGACGCTAGCTGGTTCATTGAGAAATGTAAACGTTCGCCGATCTACCTGGGTTGTGCTGCGTTGCTTACCTCGACGGACGCGTTTCTGGCACGGGGAGAAATGGGCGCCGAGCCGGGCCAGAGCCGATCTTCGTCTTGTCCGGCGGACACGCCCAACTCATAAAGTAGCGACAACGGGATCCTTTTTTTTTAAGTTCTGATTGACAGGCACCAGAAAGCCCTCTGGCTTAGATAGACTTGGCATCTGCAGGTACGAACGGGGGTACGGGGAGGATTGCGTTATTATTTTCTTTCGTCTTTGTATCTGGTGACCGTTGTTGAACGCCACCTCTTTTACTTTGTAATCCGGTTTATGCACCTGGCTGGACTGATAGCCGGGAAGATGGCGATGCCCATGATGAATAGAGTCCCTTCCCAAAAAAATGAAACTGAAAAAAATAAAAAATAAAAAACGCCCAGCCATGCCACCCACCCACCATCCATCTATCCATCCCTTTCAACCCCGCCCCTGTCCGTATCCCTCGCATCTCATCTTACACGCCATAAACCATGGCGGACCAGGTCAGACAATATATAGATAGTCTAGAGAGTAGTAGACTTCAGCCCCTCCTCCAGCGCAACTGTCTGACCGAGCTGCTTGCTACCGAGGCCGGCCTTCTCGCCAGCCCTCTTGCGGAGGACGTTCTCGATAAACGCCTCGCCGGCCTTGTAACTGCTACGCACCAAAGGTCCGCTGGCGCAGTACAAGAAGCCCATATCCAGCGCCCGCTGCCGCCACATCTCGAACTCGTCCGGCGTGACGTATCTCTCCACCTTGAGATGGCGCTTCGTGGGGCGCATGTACTGACCAAAGGTAACAACGTCGACATTGGCCTTGCGGAGTTCTGTGTTGTTCAAGTCAGCTTCCTGTTCACATTTATCGACAGCGAAAACGAGAATAAACTCACCCCTCAATGCATCCATAATCTCTGACTCTTGCTCTCCCAAGCCCAACATCAAGCTGGTCTTGGTAATGATCTCCGGCTTGACCTGCTTCACGTGTGCCAGGACCTTCAGACTCTGCCTGAATGTCGCCCTCCGATCTCTCACGTACGGCGTCAGCGCCTCGACCGTCTCGACGTTGTGAGCATAAACATCCAGTCCGCTCTCCGCCACCATCTTCACCATATCCAGATCGCCCATGAAATCACCCGTCAGCGCCTCGACAAGCAAGCTGGGCTTCTTGGCCTTGATCTTGCTGATCGTCTCGGCGAAATGCCTAGCACCTCCGTCGGCCAAATCGTCACGGTCCACGGAGGTAAGAACGACATAGCCCAGACCCCAGCGGGCGAGAGCCTCAGCGGTGTGCTCCGGCTCGTGCGGGTCCAGAGGCGCCGGCGCGCGGTTCGTCTTGACACTGCAGAACCTGCATCCTCGCGTGCATGTGTCTCCCATGAGCATGATGGTCGCCGTAGCGGCGTTCTTGGAGCTGCCGCCCCAGCACTCCGAGATATTCGGGCATCGCGCCTCCTCGCAAACCGTGTGCAGTCCCAGACCTCTCAGGTCCTTCTTGATCGCCTTGAAGTTGTCGTTTCCGGCGGGAATCGGGGTCTTGAGCCACTCAGGCAAGCGGGTGACCGTCTTCTTCTTGCCCGTGGGGCCCGTCACCTCGACGGTGCGGATCTCGTAGGCCTCCGAGGAGGACATGGGCTGCTCCTTGGCACCGCCGACAAAGTCATCGAAGGAAGCAACGCTGCGATCTTTGAAGTACGTCGGCCGACGGGCCTTCGGTTGCGAAGCCGAGGGGTCGGGGGTAGGAACTGTGGCGAAAGCACGGTAGCTGCCGAGGGCTTTTCGGAGGGGAGCGTGCATGCGCTTCAGAGGCGCGACTGTTGATGCCATCTTGAAGGTTTGTGGGGTTGAGCTGTTCTCCTCGAAAGCGGTCGAACAACACCCGTGGATGCTGGATTAAGATGGTGTTGGTGAAGGATGGAGGGAGCTTTGATGGGGCAAAAATTGATGACAATTGAGAATTGGAAGGCCCTGCAGCTCGGAAGAATACCCGACCCCCCGGATTGAATCGGCATAAGAAACTTTGTTGGCCAATCAGCTTCGAGTAGCCGACTGACAGCGGCAATGCTTATTAAGGTAGCCTATTAAAACGCGCCCAACCACGTACCGGGCCTTTCCGCCCCAACGGATTGGAAGGGGGAGAAGCCAAAGTCTTGTCTGCTGTCTTTTCCAATCAACAGGGTTGGATTGGCAAGCGACTTTCATGGTCATGTCCCATGCATTTTTATTTCACTGGGTCTTTTTGCGATGCGAGTTGGTGCTAATCGATGGCAATCCATTCAGCTAAGCTGCTAAGCTGGTAAACTCCCCGTCTCTTAAAAGTTCGCAACTCCTTCAAAGTACTCCAAGCCCTCCTCCCTTCTCCAGGCAAAGTCATAAACCAAGCCGTCAATCAAGTTAAAATCGTAGGTAAATCCGAACATCAAAACAAATCCGTCATTTTCTCCCTCGCGCCAAGATGTGTTCGGCCCACCATGGTAATGATGGAGCCAGAAAGCTACCGGCACTGCCATGTTTCGAGCCGAGCACATCCTGAGGTCGGTGAGTATACAACAATAGGGGTATCAACAACTCGAAGAGAATGTGAAACTTTTGTGTTCCAACACAAGAACTCCGGAAATCCCTCCATCATTCATCCTGATCATCCCCTCTCTCCAATCGCTTCGAGGAGCAATCTTCGCAGAGATGATCTCATAAATTTGTTTTCCAGCCAGCGAGCACGCCTGCAGCTGCGCCGTGCCTTGATCTTGAGCGTTTGTAAGCAGTCAGATGGGGGTCGTGACCAAATCTGAAACAGCTTCGTCTCATCTTCCCTGTCTTTAGACATGGGATGAACAGTGGATGAGATCTCAAAGATTTGAGACGAGCACACGGCGCGCATGAAGGGTAGAGATCGACTTCGCATTCCATGCGACCCTCGTGCTGCTGGGGAAGAATCGAAGTATTAGAAAGTTGAGTCGAGACACTGCTGCCGTCTTTGGAGTGCAACTGTGCCCGGTTGAAATAAAGAGTGAAAAAGGTTTGTCGTGGTAAGTGTCCCTAATGACAAGTCCTTGCTTCCTTTCCTGCAGGTAGGCGATGCAAGCATCGCGCATGGTAGGGTCGAAGAGGAATAGGGTATCGGTTGTTGGCGTAGTCAACTGAGATAGTTATCCGATCTTTACAATCGTTCAGTTCGTAAAAATTGGGCAACGCTCTAGTGAAGCGCGTTGGCGTTGAAACAGCGTCAGGCGCAAGACAAAAGAAAGGTTGATGAGATGTCGCATCGAAGGGCTCGGTGCGACAGTAACATGTGGTTGGTCATCCATCTCAACCACATCGCAACTCCTCCTGGATCCTCCGCCGCCTCCTCTCATCCGTCATCTTCTGCTCTCTCATCAGGCGTGCTTTACAACAATGCGGCGGCGATCATGCCAGCAATTCCAGCAAATGCGATGTTGCCAGCGTTGAGATTTGTGCCGGCGTTGGGCTTGGAAGTAGTAGCGGCAGGAGCAGCGGCCGTCACAGAAGCGACAGTTCTACCGCCGGTAGAAGCAGTGGCCTTGATCGTCGCCGTGTTGTTACCGGCGTAGGTCATGGTCTCGGTGTGAAGGCGAGAGAGTGTGACAGTCATGGTCTGGGTGGCAGTGGAGGTGACGGTAGTCGCGCTGGCATCGCTCTGGGCAAGAGCCAGAACGGGCAGGAAAGCTGCGATAATCGTAGTGACCTTCATTGTAGCTGTAGTTGGTGTTGAGATGTTTGATGGAATGTGGTTATAAACTGTCAAAGTTGATGATGTTGCTGATATGTGATGTGTCGTGTGAGTCAAAATCGACTTTATATCTCCAATCACGATGCTAATAAGATGTCTTTCAAAGAGAGTGTTGTTTTGTAAATCCTGCTGGTAACTGTCGTTCCTTCTCGAGGTGTGACGGCGGTGGCCAGATGTGATGGTGTATATATGTGCTGGCGCAAAGCGATGTGTTGGGGTCTGAGCGATGTGACTGGTGTATCGTCGGGTTTCTTTCTGCGACGAGACGGGGGGTCTATTCTCGGATGGAAGACAGGAATGAGCGTCAGTCTGAATACTTGCGCGGCGAGTAGTTCAGGTTTGGTCGGGCTATGTTTGTTTCAACGACTGTGCGTGATGGTGAGGGAGTAAGACTTTGCCAACGAAGTCTGTGGGCTGCTTCTGGGGGGGAAGTAGTTTGAATAAGAGAGTCCGCTGAGAAGGAGAGGGGCGGATAACGGTGAAAAAGTGGACAAGACGTGGGTTTTGGGTGTGGGGAGACAGGCGGGTGAGGGCAACAAGCGTGAAATGAGCGACAAGACCGACGATGCAAGCGCCAACAGGGAAAGACGCACAAGCAAATCAAGCCGCCCCAGCCCCAAAAAAGCAGGAGGAGGGCCAGGAGGATGGCCGGGAGGAGCACGTCGTTGGCTCTGTGGCCCGTGGGTACAAGATACAAGGTATCCGGATCCAGGAAGGAACGAACGAAAAGTTGACTGGAAAGTGCTCGGCCCTACCTTCCTAGTCGCGGTCCCCAGGCCAGTGTCTGGCTTCTAGTTCCCCCGAGCATGGCAAGAGGCGGCGTAGTGACCCAGAGGGAAGGAGGCCCCCCTGGTTGCAAAAGGTGTACTACTGCTACTGCTACTATGTATGTGTGTAAGCTGGATGAGGGCTGCGGCTGCAACCACCAATAACGGACGAGAGAGAGCACTCGGCCGGCAAGGTACTGCAAAGTCACTGCAAGGTACCCGTGCCTGCCTTCCACAGGCATTGTGGGGTCCATGTCCTTGTGCGGGTTGCCAACCCGAATCGGACCCTAGAGCATATCTTTCTGCAAGTAGCGGTGACCTTGACAGTTGGACAATCATGGCCTGTGGCACATGTATCTATACTCTGACACATCAGCAGGGGTCTAGATTCATGGCGGGAAATTAAGGCGCAAAATCACAGCGTTGCTCTCGTTCAACCGTTGACCTAAACACTACGTATCCTTGCCGTCGCTCTGCCTTACTGGCTGCACTATGACATTTGTGTACTATGTGCAAAGTGTTGTGCACGCTGCAAACAGCCTCATCGCGACAGCAACGAAGGATCGGCAGGGCAGTGTCGCGGGATAGTGTTCGTTTGCTCGTCCTGAAGCAGTGACATCTCTTTTCTTAGAATTCCTCGCCTCCTCCTCTAGGCTGAGTGTGAGCTTAAACGCCCAATTGCCTAGGCTAACAAAAATGCTAGTCATTGGCGACACCAAGAATAACCACGCCGTCTTCTTTGCTTTTCAAGTTTTTTTTCCACTTCCTCAGCCCTGTGTGGCCTGAGCCTTTTGGTTTTGTTAGAGAGGCAAAATCGAATAATTATCCAACTGGTTCTGACTCTCCACTCCTCCATGTCGGCCGAGACACAAACGGTCATATCTCCTTTGTCTGGACTCGGTGGGAAAAAAGAAAGGCATTGTGGATTAGTGGCGACATTAGATATCATTAGATATTGCTGAAATGAAATAGCACAATTTAACAACTGGTCATTCGGCACCACAGCGACGTCTCTTTTGTCTTTGCCGCGCAAAAATCAAAAATGCCTCCATTCCCGATTCAGATGCAATGTGAGTGGGCGTTCATAAACCACCGAATTGCACAATTTCCTGTGTCGAAAAGGGGGCCCGCACCAAGACCGTTGGCGACTGGTTTCGGCCGGGGGGACTTTCTCAATGCTGACACCACTGAGAGGGCTGCGAGATGAGATGTAACGCTTGCCAGCTTGTTCCTGCATTGGCTAGCATTGGCTGCTTCCCACTAAGCCCGGCACGGCTAGCTCTAGTGTGCTTCAATTCCTGGGCGTTGGGAGTGCTTGCAGTTTTGCTCCGTCAGTGCGGCATTTTGGGAAGGCAAGTCGCTGAGGCTCCCATAACCTTTTCCTGCCAAAGAGGATCTATTGAACAGAACCTGGAAGGCACTCTCCGCAAAAACCCTCAGGTCCTTCCTTCCCAAGCATCATCGCCCGACGGTCTGTGCTTAATCTTAGCACCAAGAAAGGTAACCTATAGTAAGGAAGGTACGTACAGAATAGTAACAGTCACTACGTAGTAGTACTACCTAGAGCACAGCTGATTTGTCCGACCATCAAACAATCTACTACGGACAAAGTACAGCTCAAATGTCATCATCTTCGTTCCAAATCCCCGGCCAGATCACGCGGAGAAGCGTCTTTCTAGCGTCGATTCCTTTCCCTTCTCGTCGACCATGACCGCAACGCAATTTTTGCTTCTAGCGCGCCATCTACGCGCATCATGCCCACAGCACTAAGGCCACCACACGCGACCACCGTCAGGAACAAAGAACAAGGCCGATACCTGCAGCCTTCATTTGCCCTTCTCTGCATTCTGGCGATCGAAGGCCCGATGACAAGAATCATCCCATCTGTCTCGGTCCCATCTTGTCCTCATCCGAACGTGTCTACCTTGTCACAGCGTGCTACATAGTATGCCCGTCTCATTTGGGGGCTGCAAATGCAAATCCTAAGATGAACTACGATGAAAAATACCCACCTTCGCATCCACGAGCATGGAGGATCCTTAACTGACGGAGATCACTGAACCCAGTAACGAACCCCTTCTCGCGCTGCGACGTCGCTGGGTTCTCATGTTCCACTGTCAAGGCTTGACTCTTTTCCTCAGGGCAAGTCCTGGTCCAAGCTTGGATTATCTGCTCAGTTGTACTGATTGTCGACAGGCATCTGTCGCAACAGGGACATCTAGAACCTCGGTTGCAACACCAAGACCTCACCAGTGTCTGCGGAACCAGCACATTCATACGCTGAGTGCCCCTCGATCACCCTGTACACGTCGCGGTCGAATGCTCGCTGCCACGTTATGAAACTCAGCGTCACACATGGCCAGCAGGGCGCTTGCTCTCAGTGTCTGCGAGTTTAGGACCAAATCATTGTACCCAAGTCTGCCTCAGCTGAATCGTCTAGACCTCATGCAAGGCCTGTCTAGACCCACGGCCAGCACATCCGCGGGTGACGGAAGTATACTTTGCAGTACGGATGCCTAGAAGCTGTATCCGCAGCCTGCGGCCTTTTGACCGACTTCCAACCGTGGGCCTGTCGTTTGACAATCGAGCTTACTGCATAGGTTTCTCCATCCGGCTAAACTAGGGGACTATCCATTCATCAAAGAGAAAAATCAATCAGAATGGATTCGCTGCCGAGACTTCTCGTCCCGCCTTGTCCCGCGCCTGGGACCGGTCTTATGCACCTTGTGAAAATTTTGTTCCAACCATAAATCTCGGCCCGGGTCTTCCAGGACATGAAAAGGCTGAAAGGAAGCGAAAGATTTTTTTTAGGCTCGTCGCACGCCACCGAGCGCAAAAATGAGATGTTGCGATAGAGTCAGACTGCCAGGTACATACTGCGCCCAACGTTTTGGTGGATCAAGGATCAACAATGCGTTGCAGCGCCGTCGCATTTTGCGCCATGCTGTGCGAGTTTGCAGTGCAAAGCCTGCACAACACTAATTCTGGCCACTGCTAGGTTGTCAGCATGCCGCCTCTGATTTGTCTCGTTTTGAGCGACCACGACCGCATGCATCATGCAAACGCTCAGCTCGTCCGTATTCATCATTTCCAACTTTCCTTCTTGCTTTTGTTTTTCGCATCGAAAGTGTCTCGAGAATGTCGTCCCAGGTCTCGTTCAACGAACGGCCGCCTGCTTTGACCTGCATCATGTATGCACGACGCAGCGTGCCGTTGCGTACCCGGCTGTTGAAGCCAGAAAAGCACTACGGACGATTTCTTACGAAGCACACGTGCATAGCTACCTAGACCCTTCAATTCGGGGTGCAGTCAAACCTTCTGAAGCAGCGCTACCGTAACCCCCCCGACAGCACCCTTGCTTGCCCGTGGGCACATCAGCCAGAGTTCCCTTGCACCACTTCGACATTGTCTCGTGGCTCTCCACTTTGCATGACATGACGTTGCTGCCCGAGTGGGCACGCCCATGTGGTTACTACTGAGATGCTCACTAGGTACGCGGCTGGCAGTAATTTCTGCTCCTGACGGAGCCGACGGAGGTACTTCCTAACTGTCTATCTGACACGAAGCGATCCCCGGAGACCCGCCCCCGTCTTCCGCCGCTTGGGCCGATAACCAAGGGGCCAGCGCCGAATTCCCCTTCGTCATCGTCATCGTCGTCACTGCCTTCGCCAGCATGGCTAACTAGACAACCGGTGGACCGATGTGCGAGGATGGTCCCAAGTGCATTGAAGGGAGGCATGCAGTGCTTCAATCGGCACCACGCGGCAACTGTGCAGTACATCATCTGAAGAGTTGGCATGTAGGGCGTTCTCGAACGGCGACAATCTGACATCTCCTGTTTGCTATGACCGTTACCGGGCTCCCTGGCGGTGTCCGATCTTGACATCCGATGAAACGGCCCTTGTTCATTAATCTCAAGCGTTTTGAAACAAATATCCACGTTCATCTGAGCGCACGTAATCCCCAAACTCTGGTACCGCCGAGGGTAATTAGCTTGCGCAAGCCCTGCACGCAATGATAGACCACGGGGGGTAGAAATCTGTGCTGCAGGGCTCGGGCAACAGATGCGCAAAGGGTATCGAGACAGAATTAAAGGGTGCTGTCAGATCAAGAATGAAAGATGCGGCAAAGATTGAGCTTCAGCTACCTCTGCCAGAGTCAACCCGACTGAACGTAGCAGTTGGTGCTCGAAATCTCTTGCGTTTGTTCCAGCTTTGAGTAGACTTGTTGACGACAATGCTGCGATTTGAGTTGCCGCTTTAATGATGTGCCAAGTATTTATGTTTTGGCTTGCGTATTATTGTGATGAAGCACTATTTCGCCAGAAATGCGGGTTCGGATGGCTATCCGACAGCTACTCGCAATATGAATTGAGTGAAGAGTGCTTTGCATCGACTACTCCATTACTTTGCCTTGAGTACAATGGCTGGTCTAAACTTTCGTCAACCTCATACTCTTACGACTCTTGCCGGACAGTCTCAGAGAACCCAGCTCTTCAGCCTCCCGGCTCGGCTCCGGTTCCGCGTGAGATTCTGCACACTGAGGGCTCTGAACCCACACGCAAGATTTGTGAATTCCCTCACGAGTTATCGACGCAACCCACTATAACAGTTTCGGTTACAGCCGGTCTATTAGTCTAGTTGGTTAGGACGTCGGATTCTGATTTCGATTGGAATTTTCCGTAAGCCCAGGTTCGAATCCTGGATGGACCTATATTTTTCTCTTGAAGCACTCACTTTCATTTTTTGCTCAGATAGCATATATGCGTTTGTTTCCTGATATCTTGATATGTTCTCCTTTCTATCTATGTTTATTCTTACCTCCGCTTCTGATCCCGTTTCTTTTTAGCTGAGTTGTAAGAAATTTGAAGCTCCGGTATGAGAATATGTCAAATATCTGCGTTTTAGTATTTGCATTTCAAGCAAGAGCACATAAGATGTTCATTAAATAACCTGCATTGCATTCTACTGGACTTTTACATAGAATGGTATGATGCAAACACAGGTGCTGTAGGACTTTGAAAATTCGAGTTCTACTCTCCCATCTATCGTTGGCTGAACAGACGCACCCGTCCATTCAGGCCAATGATATAACCACACATGCTATGCTTTATAAAGCCGATAAGAAAGACAGAAACCTCTTTTGTCGATTTTCTCCGGTGCCGAGTCTTCTTCAAGATGGTCTCAGTACTTCTACTGATACTACTTGCGTAGGCAGCTCAACATCAATCAGGCTGCTTTGTACATGGAATATCCGTTCAGCCGTCAAACACTTCGATTCGGGTGCCATCGGAAGCAAGCTGCCAATGGGCCAAGTTTGCCATGCGGCCCAACAATCTCAACAAGTAAGAACAATACTTAAGATCCTTTCTTCCGAAAAATCGAGGCACAACTCCTTTTACGTCAATTTGTTGGTGATCTCCTCCAACACCGCACCCAATCACCATCACCGCTCCGCCTCGGATTTATCGGCTGCACCCGGCAATTCGATGACAAGCGGTGGAATAAGCAAGTCCTCGTACGATGCCCAAATGGAAGTGGCCAACCACCTGGACTACTACTAAGCGGTCGGCGATTCATGGACAACATTATTGGGTGGGGGTCATGGTAGATGGCTACGAAAGAGAATTATCATCCACCCCATGTGCCGCGAACTCTGCTTTCGTTTCCAGCTACCCGGGACTATAATCTAATGAAGCACACGTCCCCGATGATGTTTTTGGACGTCAGCAGAACTAGTGAGTTCAATGATAGGTGGCCGACGAGCTAGAAGCTCTCTCCGCGGGGATCTGAGTCGCAATGTGACAAGATCATCATCTCCCTCACATCCCCGATCTTTACCCCAACATCTGACCCCCACGAAGTCCCACCCGCAGCCTAGGCATAGGATCACAGACCAGTTCTTTGTCCGGGCGCAGGCTGACACCGCGCGGACAAAAGAGCGGTGGGGGGTTTTAAGATACACACGTAGTGTGCTCCGTATCATCAGCTGTTTGGGGGGCAGCGAGGGGGATTTCGGAAGTTGGGACTACCCCATGGGGCTTTTCCCCGCGTTCGTAGTCTCATTCTCCACGTTGGGGCTGGTTAGGAGGCAATGGTGTGTGTCGAACAACGGCAGCCCGGTGACTGGGAGAATGCAGTTTTTTCGTTTTTTTTTTTTTTTTGCAGGAAGTGTAGGGTTTCTCCAAGGAAGAGGTGACCGGGGGAGAGATTGATTAAGTTGGGGCGACTCCCGCCCTTCTTTCGCCGCATTTTCGATCTCGTCCGGACTTCTCATCATCTCCTCTCCCCCCTTTTCAAGATTCCCTTTTTCCTTCATCGACATACTCCCAAGACCTTTTCCACTCAGTCGACTTACGAAAACAATGGACATGGAGAAGAGGGAGCGGTCCTTGGACCAGATCGAGGACAGCAATGGGGAGAAATCCAGTGTTGAGAATGGCCCTCTCGCTATGCCTGCCAGCTTGGCGGCTCTGAGCAAGGAAGATTATGACAAGATTGGAAAGAAGGCGACGTTGAAGATGGACCTGGTCATCATGCCCATCATGGTAAGTTTGTGCCCTCAAAAGCATGTGTCTTGTGTTGAATGTTGTGCTAACATGAGACAGGTCATCATGTATGTCCGTAAGTACATATCACTACGACCTAAATTAGCCTTGTCGGTCTAACAATGCCTCTAGTCAACTACCTCGACCGACAAAACATCGCCAGTGCCAAACTCGCAAACATCACTACAGAGCTGAACCTCAGTGAAGTCCAGTACCAAACCACCGTCAGCATTCTCTTCGTCGGTTACAGTATGTCCCCTTGGCGGGTTCCCTTACTCCGGCATGTCTACTTTACTTACACCGGTTTTCTATAGTCTTGATGCAAGTACCTTCCAACATGATTGTCGGCAAGATTAAGTGGCCCGGTATCTACATCTGCGGAGGCATGGCTGGCTGGGGTGTCATTTCCTCTCTGATGGCCGTCGTACACAACTACGAAGGCCTTTTGATGGCGCGCTTCTTCCTCGGTTTCGTCGAGGCCATCTTCTTCCCCGGAGCGCTCTACTTTCTGTCTCTGTTCTACAACCGTAAGCAGTTTGCGTTGAGAACTGCTATTCTCTACTCCGGCTCGCAGCTGGGCAATGCTTTTGGCGGCCTCTTTGCCATTGGTATCCTGACCCTTGATGGAGCCCATGGTCTTTCTGGTTGGCGATGGGTGAGTCTTTCTTTACCCTCTAAACTCCTTTTCTTAAATGTGGCGTGGTAAAAAAAACGGGGTGGCTAACTTCACAATAGCTCTTCCTCGTCGAGGGAGTAATCACCGTCGGTCTTGCCATCCCCTTCGCGATGATCCTCCCCAACTCCAACAAGAAGATTCCTACCTTGACTCAGCTGGAGTGCGAATGGGTCCAGTACAACTACACGCTCGACCAGGGCCAGGAGGACAACTCGAGCGAGGTGACTGCGTTGAAGGGTTTCCTCATGGCCGTCACGGACCCCAAGACTTGGATGCTCATGGGAATCCTGTACTCTGTAAGCATCTCCGTCTTCCATTTTACAAGAAGCCTCACTAACTCTCAACAGACCTACATCGTCGGCGCCGTCGCAAACTTCTTCCCTTCTGTCGTCGGCGGCTTGGGCTTCTCCCGCACCATGACCTACGCCCTCACCGCGCCTCCCTTCCTCCTCTGCGTCATCACCATGCTTCTCAACGGCTTCCATTCCGACCGTAAGCAGGAGCGTTACCTGCACATCGTCATCCCCCTCTGCATCACCCTCGTCGCAAACATCATTGCCGTGTCCACGATCAACATCGCCGCGCGTTACGTCGCCATGATGCTCCTCCCCGGATCCTTCTACGCCGCCGCCGTCGTCATCTTGTCCTGGATCACCGGCAGTCTGTCGCAGCCCAGCGTCAAACGTGCCAGCGCCATCGCTCTCATCAACGCCATGTGCAACACGCCCAACATCTGGGGTAGCTACTTGTACTACGGCGCGCCGAGATACATTACTGCGTTTATTGTGAACATTGCGGCTACCGGCCTCGCGATTGGGTTTGCTACCGTCACGAGGATTTGGCTGCGGAGGCAGAATGCCAAGTTGGACAGGGGTGAGGACTGCGGCAAGCATGGTCCGACCGAGGCACAGGTTGCTGGTGGGTTCAGGTACCTTATCTAAGGGGATTTGGTGTTGCTAGTTATGATGTCTTTTTTGAATACCTATGTGTTTTAAGTATACGCATTAGGGGAGATAATCGAATTTACATTAATGGAAGAAGAACCCAGAAAAGTTCTAAGATTCAATTTTGTGAAAGTCCCGGTTCGTTTGCTAAGCTCCTGGCCAAGGAAAAATGACCAAGAATAGTAGAAACTGAGTTGAATTTAAGCTGAAATTACATGAGCGAAGTACCTTACCACACATAATTATGAAGAGACTAAAAGAAGAGTAATGAAGGTCGCAAATAGGAAAAAATGCGAGGAAAAATATAATCTTCATGTTCATTAACGCTCTATTTGCCAGGCACAATACATTACATGTCTCAGCCAACCAATTACAACTTCACCCTACCAGTTACCTCCTTTTCTGCCCTCTCACTGTTTACCAATTCAGGCACAATATCCTTCACACTCGCAGCCCCCGCCAGTGCCATATTAGTCTCCAACTCATGCCTCAAAATTTGCAGCAATCTTCTGATTCCAGCCTCTCCGTACCCTGCCGTCATGGAGTACAAAAACGGTCTTCCGATACCAACAGCGCTCGCACCCAGCGCCAGTGCCTTGAGAATATCCGTACCGCGCCTGATACCTCCATCCACAAAGACCTGGAACTTCTTCTTCGCCTCGGGCGCAAGAAGATGCGGCGCGTACCTCCTGATCTCCAATAGCGTCAGCATTGGCGCCTGTGCGGTATCCTGACTCCGTCCGCCATGGTTTGATAGGACAATGCCATCAACGCCGTGCTCATACGCGATGAGAGCATCCTCGACAGACTGTATTCCCTTGATGACAATCGGCAGTGGCGTCGTTTCCCGGATCCATTCCAAATCGGTCCACGTCAGCCCGGCGTTGAGCAACCCCGAAGCCGTCGTTTTGGCTACACCGCTCGGTTCGGAAAACGGCTCGTCTCCCACAGTCAACCTCTCATCCCTTTCCCTCTTTCCGATCACGGGTGAATCCACCGTCACGAAAATAGCCTTTGCCCCGAGACTCTCTGCCTTGCGGATCGTGGCCTGTGCCTTTTCGCGGTTTCGGTCCACGTATAGCTGGAAGAAAAGTGGTTGCTGGTCGCTGACCCTCGCGCCGAAGATGGCATCTATCGAGGCGCTAGGTTTCGTGGGCATGCAGTAGATGATCCCTTCCTTTCCTGCCGCCTTTGAAATGAGTGTCTCGGCTTCCGGGTGAGCGTACTTTGCCTGTCCTGTCGGCGAAATGTAGAACGGCAGGGATGAAGGGAGGCCTAGAATGGAAGTCTTGGTGTCGATGGCGTCGACGTTACGAAGCACCCGCGGACGGAGTGCCAGCCGCCGGAAGATGCGCCGCGAGTCCTGCAAGCTCAGCTCGTCCTCCGCGCCAGAGTAGTAGTACGCCCATCCCATTTCCGACAGATACTTTTCCGCCACCTTCTCAAAGTCGTCGGCGTTAATGATGGCACCCAAATGTGGGAAGGCAGGCTTCGGCTTCTCTGGTTCGGGTGCTGATGACTGCTGCGGAAGTGTTGAAGGGTCTACGGGTCCCAGGCAACAGTCTGGTGAGAGGGTCTCTGCGATGAGATCTGGATTGTGAATGGAGTCATATTCTTCTGTTGCGTCGCGGCCGGCGCAATTGAAGATGAGCTTTGCGCCGCCTGGGTGCTCCTCAAGAAACTCTGGAGTAGTTTGTCAATGAGATGAGTGGGTGATGTAGACGGCCGAGGTGCTGACCTGTGACATTCCATACTTGGCCGTGGATGACAACCCAGCATGAGTCTTTGGTGTTGTTCTTTGCTACTTCCGTGCCGCTAACAACCATCGTGACCTTGATAGCCTGAGCTGAGCCGCTTATCAGTATCTGGTGCGTACAAATGAGTTCGACAGTTGCTCTTGAGATGAGGCTCACGATGAATATCTGATAGATTTGTCGGTAAGGGCAACCCGAGAGCCAGTTCCCTTTGTGCAAGTCGATGGGTCTTTCACCCCACGAATGACGACCCACGGGGTTCCAAGGAATCAAGCTCCACCAAACTTCATGACCCTTCAAGTTTGGGGAATGGTCCGTGGGGGTCACAAATCTAAGACCAAGTCGGTCCTATTCCATCGAAGAGCGGACTGAAGTCCGGGCCGGGGGTAGCTCCCTTTGGAAACTGAGCTGATAGTCACATGACGCATTGCTATCCCTCTACAAAGGGCTAGTGAAACCCCCCACTGAGGTGTGCTGGTCATGGAGTCTCTATCCTTGGCTTGTTCTCCTCACGACTCCCCGCGACTGAATCCCCACGAAAAGTGGTGCGGCTCCGCTGCTGGGGTTCGTTTGACTGGAAATGGGTGTGTCGATGTTAGACCTCATGCGGAGAAACTGTTGGAGGTGTGCCTAGGTGCTCGGGAGTTGTCCGGGGCCCCGGGATGGGTCCCTGCTGGAAGCTGACTCGTTCATGCGGGGTGAGCATCGGGAAGAAATCCCGGGTTGTTGACCTCACAAGAGAGACCGCGTCCTGACGATTGCCGACATTGAGTCAGCGAAGTGCGCTGCAGCTGTCCAGCTGTACCGTTAACATCTTGGGATCCAAAAAGAGCGTGTACACCTCAAAATTTGAGAGGTTGTGGCCCATTTCATGCAAAAAAAAGGGTTGATGGTGTCAAAACTGTCAAATTTGAACACCAACAGTTCGTGCAATCATAAGAAGTTTTAATTATGTAACCTCCAATCAATCCTCCCTGCCATGTGTCCAATAAAAGTCTCTGAGTGGCATTGGAGCCAAAACCCCTGATCCGACATGGCCCACAAACCTGAATCCTTCGCGTTCCTGGATAACAAGAAGTGAGGTAGTTGTCATCATCATGTGGAGACTGGCGGACCGAGCTTGGGAGGTTGGGGTCGCTGAGTTGACCCCCACACTAGAGAAGACGACCCGCCAATTTGAAGACTAAGAATGCTTATTCATTGTCTAAGGCAATATCAAAATATCCTGCCCCCCCTTAACGTCGCACACCCACTTCTCGCACACCCCCACATTTCGCACACCCATAAATCGCTCATGTAGAATTTTACCCTCTTCAACATTCTTTAATATCTTCACCACTTTTACAGCGATTATTATAATTCTTTGAATAGTTACTCTTATACGCTTAATGGGCCAGTATACGGAAACAGAAGTCAATCAAGCTCTCAATGCAGTTGCAAGTGGGCAGAGTGTCCGAAAGGCAGCTCATGATGCTGGAATTCCACCATCAACCCTCCAGTCTCGATTAAAGGGTTCACAGGCAAGAAATGTAGCTTTCTCTAGCTTCCAGAAGCTATCTCCAGCACAGGAAAGTCACTTAGCTGAATGGGTGCGTATCCAGGCGGCGTTAGGGCTGCCGCCAACACATCAACAACTCAAGGAATTTGCCCAGCGAATCCTAGACATCAGAGGCACTACCCAGCCACTTGGGAGAAACTGGATTCAGTTCTTTATTAAGAGAAATCCATCAATCAAGGTTCATAGAGCTAGAGCCATCGATTCTAAGCGTGTCAATGGGGCCTCAACTAATGTAATCAGGCAATGGTTTCAACAACTCGCCCTTCCAGAGATCAAGGCGATCAAACCACATCATCGCTATAACATGGATGAAACTGGTATCCTAGAAGGCAGAGGATCAAATGGCTTAGTACTGGGATCATCAGAAAGCTCATCAATGCGAAAAAAACAGCCTGGGTCTCGGGCTTGGACAACTATGCTTGAGTGTGTCTCTGCAACTGGTCAGGCGCTTCCTCCACTTGTTATTTATCGAGGGAAATCGGTTCAACAACAATGGTTTCCTCTTGATATCCATAAACGTGATATTTACAGTGGTTGGAAGTTCACAGCAACTGAGAATGGCTGGACTTCAGACTCTACAGCTGTGGAATGGCTTGAGAACATCTTTATCCCTCTGACTAAGCCTGATCATCCCTCTGAGCAGAGACTATTGATCCTAGACGGTCATGGCAGTCATGAAACAACAGAATTTATGTATCTCTGTTATAAACACAAGATATATCTCCTTTTCCTACCGCCACATACATCCCACGTTCTCCAACCTCTAGACCAAGCAGTCTTTGGGCCTCTCAAGGCGACCTATCGAAAAGAGCTTGGATACCTCATTCAACACAACGATTCTACAGTTGTAGGCAAACGGAACTTTCTTACCTGCTATGGAAAAGCACGCCAGATGGCATTTTCAAGCAAGAATATCAGAAGCGGCTGGAAAGCAACAGGACTATGGCCCATTTCGATAGCTCGACCGCTCATGAGCCCTCTACTGCTTGAGAATGCTTCCAAGCCCTCAATGTTACGACCCGTTAGATACACCTAACAGGACCCACTCGGTTGGGCGGTTATGACAGGACTTTGTATGCAGGGCCACGGGAACAAAAGGTAACCTCTCGGAACGGAAGAACTATAGAACGGAACAAGTCACGTGATGAATCATTCTAGGTCAGAATGATCCAAGAAGAGTTGGGGGCCAACGGATCATGTTCGATCAATATGATCTCCAACGACTACAGACAATACGTGTAGATAGACTCCTATATAGACCAGGACTTGAGTACCTGCTCAAGCCCTCTAGATAGTTCTTCAGCAATCAACTTGTGATTCATCCTCGAATGACTTTCAGCTTACCTCTCAGTATTGTGAATACTAAGAACCTCGTTACCATAGTGTAAGACTGATCACCTTACCCTAACCCTACGATCTACCAGAACGACCTCTACGAACCAGTGTTAGTCTCTTACTGCACCTTCTGTTAGCAGAACCCTACTGTCAGATAGCTGGCCGTAACACTCAAAGCCAGGCTATTCTACGCCTATGAGGGCCTCTGATGGTGGAAAAGACGAAAACTGGGCATCTGCTACATCCATAGTAGCCTGGTCAACGCCCAAGAAGACAGTTGATCTATATGATCAACTTAGCTTATTCAGCAAGTTGGATAAAGATCAGCAAACGCAGCGACTGTTGTTTCGGAAGGTTCAAAAGGGATTTGATGAAAAGGACTATCAATTGGCTACAGCAGAGAAGAAGATTGCAATGTTGGAAGCAGAAGTTGAGGCTGGAATGGTACGGAAGCGGCGTAAGGTCCAAATGAGCCCAAATTCGAAGTTTGCCAACATTGAGGCAATTCACAAAGCCCAAATTGAGGCTGGCGAAATTGAGGATAGCTCAGATGAATCTAGCGAGCCTGAATTACCTATTAAAACTGGCGATAGTATCACAGTTGCAGGAGACGAATCAGACTTATAGTTATGAAGTTGATGAATACCTCATGATGACCCAATTTATGGGTGTGCGAAATGTGGGGGTGTGCGAGAAGTGGGTGTGCGACGTTATAGCGTAACTAGCTGCATTTTTCAACATCACTACCTCAGTCTTTCGTGTTGAAATTGACCCCACGATGAGCTAGAGTTTTAGTTCAGCAGGGTCATCCATTTGGGCTACTCGAGTGATCAGAGACACCCAGGTCACGCCAACCTATTCTAGTAGTCTTGCCAAATACTTAGGAATTGCAGTAGCTGAGGCTGAGGCCGAAGAAGGAGACGATAGGGATTTTTCAAATATGAAGAAACACAATGGAGATAATCTATCACTTACCGCGAAGGAAGTCTCCCTCTAGAACTTGTGGTAATCCTCCAGAAGTCGACGCGAAGTAGAAACATTAGGCTAGAAACTTCATCAGTTAAGTTAGGTACTGTCAATGATTGAATTGAACAGTAAATATTTCGAGGCGTCTTCAATTTACTACATCTTTGCTTGAATAGACATGCTCGAACATTGAGCCAACGATTGTCAACACAGACGTAACAGAGTACACTCAATTTACAGTCACCTCCTCCCAATACCCTTAGAGATGACTCCGTGCATTGTTTGAAACTCAAGTAGACAGATTTATGAGCGACAACTGTGCTAAGGCTTTCGGACAGTTGGCGATAACACCCGAGTGTTAAGGCGGAAACATCTTAGTCAGCAGCTCCCATGATTTGGCATTGATGACATTCTATGTATTCAAAAATAGAATAACCACGTTGAGAATGGATAGATAATAGGAAGCCTTTGATAGACGAGGTGTTGAAAACCTCTGAGAATAAAAGTCGGAAAGATGATATCAAAAACTCCTCACGTCGTCGAGATGCAGTTCAACCCAAGTGGTCATAAAGGCTTTCTACTCAATTCAAGGTAATCGTGGCAAAACCGATGACATCTTGCCAAAAGCTCAATGGCATTATCATAGAGCCACTGGCACTGATAAGATGTGAAAATGTGACTATTGCTTGATTTCAGCTATTGAATAAAATTCATTCCTCCCTTTAAAATTTCAGACAGAGCAAGTTCAAGATTCGCCTGGGCCAGCTGACATTCTCTGGCCGAGGTTCACTGAATTCGGTCTTGCCTTCTGGGGTGAATGAGTCCCGGTCCCCTCCAACAGGAGAGTCAAGCCATTCCTTCGGTATTTGGGTTATAAAGTCATACCAATAATCCCCAAAGTGACGATAACCTTCATTAGTCGGATGAACGCCGTCTCGAAGCAAGCTTGTAGGGAAAGTGGTGAAATTCACAGTGAGAACATGCTTTCCTGCTGCCGCTCGCGATGCGACGATGCCGGGTATGAAACGCTGGAACGGGATGATATTCTTCTGCTGAGCCTCATCGAGAGTGTTGATAATCATAGCAACAAGAACAGTAGCGTCTGGGCACGCTTCCACTATCTGGTCAATGAGCTGCCCTAGACGTTCCGCTGCACATTTTGGATCGTTGCCCTCTGTCGCAATGTCCAAGTTAGGGTTCATGTCATTGGTACCTGCATGTACCAGAACGACATTGGGCCGCTGATTCAGTGATGCTTCGATATTATCCGAAATGAACTGAATGGTTCTGCCATTCCAAGCAGCCTGATATTGGACCATATTTGTTAGTCTAAGCCATGTGTTCTAGAGTAGCAGATCCTTACAAAATTGTTGTCAGGAATAGTCCCGCGGACCGATTCTGTCCCGGCAAAAGCGACGCAGTCCCCTTCATAGCATGTTAGCATGAATCCATCTATCGCTCATTAATGATGTACTTGATAGGTTTTGCCGAAGCTTAAGCCTGTAACCGTTACCATCGCCTCCGTCGAGGTCGCTTAAGAAACCAACGGTGATCGAATCGCCAACTCCAAGAATGCGGAGAGTTGTTCCAGGCTTGACAGGTTGACCAGGCTTGGTGGCCTCGTATTTGAGCGGCCCTCTTGATATCATATTGGGTGGAAATTGGGATGTTTTGAAGACTTTCGCGGCGAAGTTGGAATGATAGGCTTGGCTTAATGCTACCAGATACCCGCCTCTTTAGTCCCTGGCGTTTGATTCCAACAAGATATATGAATTTTGGATTCTTGCAAACGGCATTCTTGATGATGGCTGCCCTGGACCTCACGTAGCTAGCTGCGGTCCGTTACACGTCTGTCTGAAACGACGGATGGAGCCTATTCAACACCGGAGTCACGCGTTGTCAGTTGTGCACGGGCTGCACCATTGACAAAAGTCAATCAAGGCAAAGGGCAACTCTAAGAGATTACTAATCGCCAGCCCACGATTTCATTGAACGGTACATAATGGCTGCTCTTTTGAAGAAGGCATTACAAATGTAGAATGGTTGAGCTCCGAATTAAGCTATTTTCTCTCACTCAGTAGTAGTCAAATGTTCCACATACGAAGAGCAAATTTGTTGTGTTACGTTGTTCTACAATTTCATCTCCCGTTAGTAGCACAAATAGTACAGGATGCCATAGTAGCCTACGAGTCAGTCAACCAGAGATGAAAGTTAGGGAGGGAGAACGTATTTCAGGCTTGGTTGACCCCGCATTTGAATGCAACCGGAGCACCTTTGTCGGCTCATCGGATTAGCAAGCCCCATACGCATCGGCAGTGACGCGAAAAGGATTCCCCTTATCAGCGTCTGCGGGGTGATCGACCGACTATGAACCTCTTAGTAGCGTATGAGACCCACCGATATCATGGGGTTTGGTTTCCTTTGCTTAAGACTGCCTTTTTGGGTTAGTGACGCACGGGATTAGTATGATGATTCCTGGCTGCGCAGGGTCTTTAGAGACGTAGAAAGATTGTGGGCGACAACAGCGAAGCTTCTTATCAAACACGTTATCAAAAATGAGATAGCATGATACATGAACATGACTGAAGGATATATCAAAAGCAACTCAAATAATCTCTCTTTTCGGATCTTCTCATTCCATAACCTCGATTTTCAGCACCTTCTAGGCTACCCAGTGCTGAAACCATCATGGGCGGACAAGCAGAAGGCCAGGATGGCCACCTCCAAAAGCGATTTTCTAAAATAACCATGCTTGGTATGGCCTTCGCCATTCTAAAGTAAGTTTGAACACATAAAAAGTGCATATCGCGTAAAACTCACAATCCAAGCACATGGATTTCTCTAGCTGGATCCATCGGCTTGGTAATGCCATCCGGAGGCTCCGTATCCTTTGTTTATGGCTTCATCTTCTGCGTGCTCTGCAATATCTGCTTGAGCGCCAGTGTTGGAGAGCTTGCCTCTATATATCCAACAGCCGGCGGACAGTATCACTATGCTTATGCTCTATCGATGCAGAAATGGAAGAAGCCTATGGTGGGCCTTCCTCCTTAGCTATCATAATGGACACTAATAGGTGACAGAGCTTTTTTGTTGGATGGATCAACATTGCTGGCTGGCTCACACTCAACACTACGGCTGCGTACTTTGGAGGTATGATCTGATGTTAATAATTTTGAGGATGTCGACAACTTACGTCTTGACAGCTCGATTTCTTGCAGCAGCAGCTGTGGCAGGTTCCGGTGGCACTTATGAAATAACGAAGTGGAGTACTTATCTCATGTTCGTTGCAGTGTCAATTATTGGGGTGTTCTTGAACATCTTCGGCTACCCCATCCTGAATCGCTGGAACGAAGGGGCTTGTGAGTTCAGTTGTTATTCAGGGGGAAGCGCAGCTAACTTTCTCCAAGTATACTGGTCTTTGCTTAGTGTCATCGTTATTAGTATCGTGCTACTGTCAACCTCTCCAAAGACGGATGCCTCGTTCGTCTTTACCAACTTCTCCAACACAACCGGCTGGAGCGATGGAACTGCATGGATGCTTGGTCTACTCCAGTCTGCGCTCAGCTTCATAGGGTTCGTACTGACACCTATGAAGTAAATCACCAATGACTGATATAGTTGCAGATATGATGCGGTGGCTCACATGACAGAGGAGATGCCGCGTCCAACTAAAGACGCGCCCCAAGCCATGGTTGGTGCCGTGCTCGTTGGAGGTATTACGTGAGTAGACATCCACGCCGCGGACAGCATGTGGCTCTTCTAACCTTCTATCAAGTGGCATTGTGTTCATACTGGTGATGCTATTCTGTGCGGTCGACATTGATGTGCTCCTTGCATCTCCGACACAGAGTCCACTGACTGAAATAATTCTGCAAGCCACTAAGAGCAGGGCTGCTGCCATAATTCTCAGTGTCGCTGTAGCACTCTGCTTTGTCAATGGGGCCAATGGTTGCGTCACGTCTGGCAGTCGTCTGGTATGGGCAATGGCTCGCGACAATGGCACGCCTTTCTCAAGATAGTAAGCAACCGAAACCCTTACTGTGCTAATTGCCCAGTAGCTGACATAGCCATCTGCAGTCTGTCGCACCTTCACCCAAAGCTTAACGTTCCAGTACGCGCAATTGTTGTACAAGCTGTTTTCAACCTACTATTTGGTCTTCTTTATCTCGGTATTTAGCTCGGCTTCCCGCAAGCTTCATACGTTCGTCGTGGGCTGACATGAAAACACAGGTCCGGAAGTGGCATTCAATGCGTATATTGCTAGTTGCACACTGTTTTTGAATCTGTCATACGCACTGCCCGTCATGATTTTGCTTGTCAGGGGCAGGCGTCTGTTGTCAGCCAACCCCCCAGAGTTTTCCTTAGGGCAAGGAATCCTAGGTTATGTAACAAACTGGGTTGCTGTTCTCTTCGTGCTTGTCACCTCTGTTGTGAGTCGCTATGGTCACCTAACCAATCAAGTTATTTCACCGACTAGAATACTTACACATCGCTCCTAGTTCTTCTGCTTCCCGCCTGCTATACCAATCGACATATCTACCATGAGTGAGCACAACCTCAGTGATCCATTCGAACAGTTATCTAACTTTTTACAGACTATGTCACAGCTGTGATTGGTATCTTCATTGTTTATGCCACGGTATTGTGGACTGTAAAGCGCAAGACCTATAATGGTCCTAAATTTGACCTTATCCTTGGAGAGGAGCTTCCTGTCAACAACCCAAATAATCAGGGTGCAATAGTCGCAAAAGGTAGTGATTTTGACGGTCAAGATAAGGAATGAGCCGCGATTGTAGAATAGAGCTATTCACCCTTAATAATATGTGAAGCGAATTTTGCCTTAGCCAATAGTAATTTGCAAATGAGTTAGCTGAACAGACACGAAGAAAAGCAGGGTCTTGACAAGCATTGTGATTCAAAAAAACATCATTCGAATAAGTAGAAAACCTCTGTGTGTCATATAATTAAGGCGAAATAATGAATTGACATATATTCAGCAGCGATAGATAGTCCCCTGAACGGTGAAGTTAGACTAGAAGGTATGGTTGTGCACTATTCAGAGTCATAGGCTGCAAGAAGCCAGCCCACTTGTCATTTCGTATAACGACTGTCGCTTCTGCTAAGTTGGACAGTAACATAGACAGATATCAAGTGGATCATGTTGTCTCAACCAGATGAATTTTATTAAGATTACAGCTTTGCCCCTTTGACGTAACCATAATGCCAATCGGTCCTTGCCAAATCTTGTCTAATTTGGTAATTCTGTTCTGCAATATCTACAAGTCGCATATCCACGTCAATGATTCTCATTCCCTCCTCGGCATCAGAAAAGCTACCAGGCACTGTTCCCACAATAGGCATTGTAACTTGACTGCATCCGAAGAAGCCCTCATTTGGAGGGCCGGTCGCATTGCAGAAGATAATGGCCGCAGTGTTTTCAAATGCTCTAGTGGTGAGCGTGGACTGCACGAACAGCTTCTCGCAGCTTTCGTTGTATTTTAATCCTTCTTTGCTCATGTCTGACAATGTCCAGAAAGAGGGAATGATGATGAGTTTTGCTCCTGCCAATACAAGCTGACGGAAGGCTTCGGGAAAGGCCAAATCCCAACAGACCAATATGCCGACCGGCCCCAATGGAGTGTTGAAGACCTGATGAGCACTGGTGGCAGGCGCCTCGTTGTGCATCTTATCTTGGTGAGCGTGGTCAACGCTTGAGGTTAGGTGTTGGCGCTCGGGGATCCAGAGGTTGGTTTTGGTGTAGGCACCAAGAAGTTGGCCGCCATGGTCAATGAAGTAGGAGGTGTTGAGAAGAGTGCGTTGTGTCTTTGCTGCTTTTTCGTTGGCAAAATGACTCTTTGGTGGCTCGGAAACTATAGTGCCAGCGCAAATGTTGATGTGCAGCTCCGCAGCCAACTGCTGATACTGTTCTAAGAACTGGCTGGCATCCTCTGCGCTTAAAGCAAAAGAAGGTTCATCGGGCACCCAGCCCGTCAGATGGTATTCCGGTAAAACGGCCAGAGATGCTCCCTGGGCTGCTGCCTGCCGGATTTGGTTGGAAGCATGGTTGAAGTTATATTCAATATCGATACTCTAAGCAAGCATAAGAAGCCAGGCATTAATTCCGATTCTTGGGTGCGAAGCACTTTGAACTGGGGGTTATGTGGCGCACCTTGGGTGCAGTCTGTATCAGTGCGACCTTGAATTCTTTGACGTCTGATGCGAGTGGCATATCGTAGGATTTGCTTTCCAACTGCTGACAATAATAGTGAAGAATTGTCATTGTAGAAACCCGAATACCGACTTGATGTCGCCAGCCGACCTTATCATAACCACTGGGATGGCAACATAGTCCGACCCCTAGCTTTGCCTATCTATTCCTTTTCCGGTAATGGTATCCTTTTCCTATGAAAGCCCATTATGGTTTAGGCCTATGCAATAACCCCCAGGACCCCGCAAATGATACTGATAAGTCCCCCTGATCATGGCCCACCAGTGCTGACCCATGAGTCATTCCGATGACATCGCGAATGATTGCTGCTGAGACAACATTGCTCCTGCATGCCGAACAAACAACGTCTAATGAGCCTGGTTGCTTAGAGCCTTCTGTAAGGTATTCTTATTATGCAACCTGTACGCAAAGTAGTCACCAGATCCCGAAATGGATGTGCTGTTTGCAAATCCAAAAGAGTACTGAGCTTTCCCTACTTTATCCTGTGACTCCGCTGATAGCTAAGCCTCACAGCTCAAATGCGACGAAGCAAAGCCTTACTGCTCACGTTGCCAAAGGCTGGGAATTTCCTGCCCAGGCTACCGAAAGCCATTACGATGGAACGCATCGTCTACATCACCGCGCGAAAATCCCACATCTTCATGGACACCCCAATCGGGAAGCGTCCGGGAAAGATCAGGGAATTCTTTTCATGAGCTGCAAATGCTTGAGGAGACCCCTAAAGACCTCACCGAATTGGACTTTTTCAATGTATTCATGAATTCTAATACGCCTGAAAGCATTGATACCCACGACATGAGTACTTTGGAGCCGTTCTTCCCGTTGCCAGACATGGGGATGGAGAAAGAACACCCTTCTCCAACCACGAGCTCGGACGCCACCTTTTGCCTTCAACAGCTGGAGTCGAGAAATACGGAATCTAGCTTAAGTCGAAGAATACTGAAGGAAAGAACGGTTGGAGGCTGTAACGTGATTGATCCACATACGCCCTTGGGTGAACTTGCGACACGTCGATATGAAACGCCACTCTCACCTTCACTGAAAGACAACTCATCAACATTGGTTGAGTACTACTTCAAGGAAGTATGTGGTATGATGTCTTGTTACGATAGTAACTTGAATCCGTACAGAACAACAATTTCCAAACTTTGGGTCGACTCTCCTTCACTCTATTATATCATCCAAAGCATGGCAGCAGCATGCTTATCTGAGGTCTCGCCCAGCCTTTCTGCATCTAGCGGACGCCTCGGAGACCAGGCTGTGAAGTCCTTACGGGATGAGAACAAAATCAATCCAACGGATACTTCGTCTCTCTTAGCCTTGGTAATGCTCGGCTTCAGCCTCTGTTGGCACGACCCTCGTAAACTCGGCCAAGCTGAGTTCCGGATGCTTGCCGAAACACTTCTATCTATCGACAATCTTGGCGATGAGTCAGCTTTTGTTGAGACGCAAAAGAAGCTGTTCTTTTATAATTCCCTGGTATACTGGAAGATGCTCTTATCCTTCGTTACCGACCAAGAATTACCATCTGTGGTGACCGACGTCAGGCACGGGCGGCATCAACTAGGAACAAAACGGCTTGTATTCTCTAAGTGAGCGAGCGGAGCGAAGGACGCTTAAGAATACGGTCGCTGGAGCGAGGTCACGTGACCTCGCGGCCGAGACGCGGCAGAGTGGGTCCGGAGGCCCGGAGCCAGCACGACACACCCCCCAGACGGCGCGTAGTCGTCTGGAAAACCGCGCCTCGAGGCCATATCGCTACTATCGCCTAGATACAAGATTATGAGGCTATTCAGAGCCTCTTGTGAATATATATATAACAAAAGAGAGGTGTTGTTGTATTCGCCTCGGTCTTTGTGCTCGAAGTGATGTGAATATGGCGAAATTCGCCCTTGCGCGCCGCCTGGCGCAATAATCGCACTTTCCTTTATTCAACCGTCGTACTTGCCTCTTATTATTGCCAGTTGAATTTTCTGAAAATCCTGCCTTCTGATTGGCCCACAACGTGGGTTGCCCATCAGTTATTATTTCCTCTGCCCGTTGACTCTTCTGCAGCGGTTCCGGCCGTGGCCGAAGCGGCTGGTCTCCGTGCTGCCATTGACAGCCTTGTTGGAGGACACTTGCCGGCGGCTGTTCTCCCCGCGTACAACGTCCTGATGGACACGTACGCGGCCTCCCTCCGAGGTCGTTAAAAGAGCCCGCCCTACGGGGCGTAAGTACGCTTGCTTTTGCTCCTTTGGGAGCGTATCATGCTTCCTGGCCAGGGGCCAAGTCAAAATTTAACTTTCGGCCTCCGGGCCAGCATTGCTCGCGCGCACCTGTTTCTCTTCGCTTCTTGTGACTTGTGCCCGAATGTCTTGTAGGTTTAGAAGTGCCCTGAAGTGTTCGAACTTCGCTCGGGAGAGTGCTTTTGTGAGACCGTCTGCTGGCATCTCGTCGGTAGGCATATATACCACGTCGAACGTCTTCTTGGCATACTCTTGGCGTAGCCACATGTTCTGTATATCAACGTGGCGAAGGCGCGTTGAGATGCGTTCCTTGTCGCCTACTACCAGGCGAATCGTTTGGCGATTGTCACAATGGATCTTCCATACGTCTCCGAGGTCTAGTTCAATATCCCGAAATAAGCGTTTGAGAGCGATGGTCTCCTTAGCAGTGTTTTCGAGGCTAAGGAGTTCCGCTTCTGTAGTAGAAGTGGTAACGGTATTCTGTCTCGCGGCTTTCCACTGAATGGGACCGCCGAACAGTGAGATGATGTACCCTTGAGATGAACGCCGCGTCTCTTCGTCGTCTGCGAACGAGGCGTCGCCCGCAATTAGGAGAACTTGGGCACCTGCACCCCCCGAGCTACCGAAGCAGAGCGAAAGGTAGCGAGTGTGATAAAGATATCTAATGACTTGGTTCGCGGCCTTCTGATGTTCGAGAGACGGGTTCGTTAGGAACCTCGAGAGTGTAGCGCAAGCGAAGGCGACGTCGGGGCGAATCATGATCGCAGTGTACAGAATTGAGCCGACCTTCTCTTGGTATTGCTTTACCTGGTCAGGGGTCGCTTCAGCGGTGTTCTTCTGGAGCGGGACGAATGGCAATGGTGTATGCGGCACGATCGAGTCGATAAGGTTGAATTTCTTCGCTACGCGTTCGATATATTGGTCGTGTGCGAGGTTAATTGTTCGCTTCTCACGGTCACGTATCACGCGAATGCCTAGATACCACTCGACAGGGCCTTGGTCCTTGAGTTCATACTCGGCTTTCACCCCGTTTATAACGTTTTGAGCAGCTTCGCGGTGGTCCCTATGGTATAAGACGAGGATATCGTCTACGTAGAAGAGTACCATCACTTTCTTGTCGTTTGAAGTGAAGAGACAGGGGTCTTCGCTTGCAGGCTTGAGTCCCAGGCGCCGCAGCGTTGATGAGAACTCCTTATACCAAAGGAGGGGAGCGTCTCGTAGCCCGTATAAGGCACGGCGGAGCTCGACGTACTTCCCGTTCTGTTTGAAGCCGTCTGGTAGGTAGCAGACGACAGGCGGGTCGTTCGGTCCTCTTGTTGCGTTTAGAAACGCATTGACTACGTCGAATTGGTCTACTTCAAGGTCGAATTCCGCCGCGAGCGCCATCGCTACTCTAAACGTCCTTGCTGCGAGGGTCGCTGCGTAGGTCTGTTCGAGAGGATGCTTCGCCTGGAGGTCGCCGCGGACGCAAATTCGTGCCTTGCAGCGGTCGAGGTAGCCGTCTTGATCAAGCTTGTAAGTGAACACCCACTTTAGAGGAATAGGTTTCGTAGACGCTTCGTGTTCGTCAATGATTTTCCAAGCGTCCATCTCCTCTAATTTACTTATCTCGGCTTGGGCCGCTTCGTAAAACAGGTTTCGGAGGTGGGTCGGCATTTTTTCAACACTTTTCCACGTTCGTGGGGGCTTTATAAGCTCATCTGTGTGTATTTTCACTCGCTGTGGAGTGACCGCTCTGGAGTGCTTCGCTTGGTGTATTGACGCGAAGACGAAGCAATGGAGCGTATAGTGGGCTTGGTTCGCTTCCTCCACAGCCTTCTGCTGATCAGGCATATAGGTATGGAAGAAAGTTTCCCAATTACGTTCCGTTTGTAGGAATGCGAAGTGTTGGGCGAAGCGAGGTGATCGTCTCGGTTTGCCCTGTTGTTGGCCGTAGTCCTTGCGGTTGTACACCCGCTTGGTCTTTATCTCGGGTTCGCGCCCGTTCCCATTATCCGAGTGTGGCCGCACCGGGTGAGTTGGGGAGTCACCCCCGAGATCATTACTCGAGTCGGCCTCCACGGCCGGTTCTCGTGGAGGTTCGTTGTTGGTCTTGACGTATATCACGTCTTCGACCGCCTCAGAGAGGGCTTCGTGCCCCGGGTCGGGAACGCCGGCGTCCATCGCTTCGGAGCTTTGTTGGCCGGTCGTTTGCCCGTCCGTCCCCTCCGGCGCTGCGGCCGGCTCAGGGGTCGGTTCCGGGGTGAGCAGGCCCTCTTCGCGTCGGCTGTTAACCGCGGAGCGTTTTACCGTTGTCTCTTCTGAGATTACGGTCGACGGCGCGAAGGCAGGTGGCAGGGGCTGCTCTTCAAGTGAAAATACGAGTTCGCTTGGTTTTGCGAGTCCGAGGAATTGGAGTCCTGGGTTCGCCGTAGCCGGAGGTTCCGAGATCTCCGTGGAGACTGTCTCGGCCACCTCCGCTTGTAAACTAGCTTTTGCATCGTCCTTCGAGTAGAACTTCGTCTCGTCAAAGGTAACGTTTCGCGTGATAATCACTTGATCAAGCGAGGGTATCCAGACTCTGTATAGGTTGTGAGCGTCCATAACGTAGCCCACCAGATATCCAATATGTCCTCGCGGTTCCACCTTGAAGTTACGTCTGTTCCTATCCGCTTCGCGGTCCTTTTTCAGGGGATAAGCCCTACACCCATACGCGTACGTCCAGCCCCAGTGGGGGCGAAGGTCGCGGGCGAGGCTCGCGCTGTATTGTGGTTGCCACCAGCGAAAATACTGTCGGAACCAGCTCTCTTCGACTTGAATTGGTGAGAGCCAAGCTCTTCGCTT